TTCCGGGGCACCTGAGATTTTGAGTGAGATTGAGAGGTTCTATGGGCAGCTGTACACATCATCGTTGGAGCCGCACGCAAGTGTGAGTAACGATCCAAGAGAGAGTCTTATCCGACATTATTCCGATGATATCCCGGAAGTCAGTCTGAGCGAGATTAGAATGGCTCTCCAGCACCTTAAAAACGGCAAGGCCCCAGGCGAGGATGGAATTACAGCGGAGCTTCTGAAAGCGGGTGGAAAACCGGTACTTGAAGTCCTTCAGAAGCTCTTTAATTCCGTCCTCCATGGTGGCATTACACCGGAGGCGTGGAGCAGAAGTGCGGTGGTCTTGTTCTTCAAGAAAGGCGACAACGCTCTCTTGAAGAACTACAGACCGATTTCCCTTCTGAGCCGCGTCTACGTGCTGTTTTCGAGAGTCATTACGAATCGTCTCGCGCGCATACTTGACGACTTCCAGCCTCCCGAACAAGCCGGTTTCCGAAAAGGCTTTAGCACCATAGACCACATACATACCCTTCGGCAAATTGTACAGAAGTCCGAGGAATACAATTTGCCACTATGTCTGGCGTATGTGGACTATGAGAAAGCCTTTGATTCCGTCGAAATTCGGGCGGTGCTGCAGTCCCTTCAGCGATGCCAAGTTGACTGTCGGTATATCGAAGTGTTGAAGTGCTTGTACAGTAGGGCTACGATGGCTATCCGAGTACAGAACCAGAGTACGAAACCTATCCAATTGCAGAGAGGTGTAAGACAGGGTGACGTCATATCCCCGAAACTCTTTACCACTGCATTGGAAGATGTTTTCAAGCTTCTGGACTGGAAAGGATACGGTATCAACATCAATGGCGAGTACATCACTCACCTTCGATTTGCCGACGATATAGTCCTTATGGCAGAATCGCTGGAGGACCTAAGCACTATGCTCAATGACCTCAATAGTGTTTCCCAACGGATAGGTCTTAAGATGAACATGGACAAAACAAAGATCATGTTTAATGTCCATGTTACACCTATGCCGGTAGTTGCTGGGAACACTAAGCTCGAAGTTGTTGACGAGTATGTTTACCTGGGACAAATAGTCTGACTAGGTAAGTCCAACTTCGACCGAGAGGTCAATCGACGGATTCAACTCGGTTGGGCAGCGTTCGGGAAATAACGGCACATCTTCTCGTCAGGTATACCTCAAAACTTGAAAACGAGACTGTACACCCAGTGCGTGTTGCTAGTGATGACATACGGAACTGAGACGTGGTCCTTCACTGCTGGCCGGATGAGGAAGCTCAAGGTCGCTCAGCGAGCTATGGAGAGGGCTATGCTCGGAGTTTCTCTGCGTGATAAACTCAGAAATGAGGATATCCGCAGTAGAACCAGAGTGACCGACATAGCCCAACGGATTAGTAAGCTGAAGTGGCAATGGGCCGGCCATATAGCTCGAAGAACCGACAACCGATGGGGAAGAAAGGTTCTCGAGTGGCAGCCTCGTACCGGTAGGCGAAGTGTAGGGCGTCCCCCCACGAGATGGAGTGACGACCTGGTAAGATATGCAGGAAATCGATGGATGCAGGTGGCTCAGGACCGTGCTTTGTGGCATTCTTTGGGGGAGGCCTATGTTCAGCAGTGGACTTGTGAAGGGCTGTAATGATGATGATGATGATGATTTGTCAATATTCATAAGATGGTAACATTACTCAAGAACAAAATTTGGGTTCCGCGCAAAAAAATTGATATCCATGAAATCGTAGTAAATTCCACGCGGGTGAAGTCGCGGGGCACAGCTAGTATAATATAAAAATGAATCGCTGAATGTGTTGCTAAGCGCAAATCTCGAGAGCAGCTGCATGAGCATGAATGATGATAAAATTCAGTTCAAATATATATATGCAACACATACATAAAATATACATATACACACATATATATATATATATATATATATATATATATATATATATATATATATATATATAAATACACACATTTATACATATATATCTCAATAAATGTATATGTAAATAACTATAAACATATAAAATAAGTTGACTCAACTTTGTAGGCTACGGATATGCTCATATAGTTTTCTTTTAAAAACAATCGTTCTCTCCGTTCTTCGGCTAATCTTAAGTTGCTTACTCCTTTACACCGTACTGGTTATTTATCTCAATCTTTCGCCCTCACGGCCATCAGACTCTGAACGACATCCCTCTTGACATTAAAAAAGCTTTATTTTCATACACATATTTATATTTCATATTTGTTCTGACATAGATAATATTTATATGTACTGTATATATATGTAGTCTATGCATGTATATGTGTATGTATGTATTTATATATGTGTATATTGTGTGTATTTAAGTATATATGTCTATGTATGTGTGTGTATATGTATATTTATATGTATATATGTATATACAATACTTTTTTAGGCGCTTTCTATTTTGATTACTGCTGCACCGCCTCTTGTTTGTATATCTCTGTTTAGCCATATGGTTCAATGGGAGAGAATGGCATTAAGTCCGCCATATGTACAATTTTGTACATGAAAGATTAAATAAAAATAAATAATTAAGGTGAACATTAAAAGATTCCGTTACATAGATAGAAAGATAGTTACACGCGAAGCTAATAAAAACGTGTTAATAAACAGTAAACATTTATGTTTAGGTAAAAAGGAACTGTAACTAACTAATAACTTTAAGTTCAGTTATATAATTGAGTTCTTACCAAAATATGACTTAAGAGGGATTGTCTTTTGCTTCAAGTAGGGGAATTATAATTAACATGACATCGCATAATTGTGGAAGCTTAAGTCATCAGTATAAATATTTAAAAAGTAAAGAAACAACACGGGAGCTGAGCAACTTTTAGGCTCATGAAAAAACTCGATGAAAATTTAATAAGATCACAGGATTCGACTGTCGGTCACTAGTCTCCAAAACTGAATTAACAGCTACATTTTTTTCTTTGAAAAATAACAATTTATATGCCATTGCAACCTACTTAGGCCGTCGCGTTTTAAGCAAATTTTTTTCAATCCTGTTGCCGAGGAAAAAATAAAGTTAGAAAGTCGAAGATGATAAAATATAAGATGATGATGTTGTCACTGGTACTCCAATGTCCTCTTTCAAATGCGGCAAATACGAAAAGAAGGATAATGAGTGATTCATTCCATTCGGAACAAACCGGGACTTCTGGCTAATAAGACATTCGACGATGCACAACGAACGATGAACGTAAAGTTTAAAAAAAAAACTTAAAGAAAGAATTTTCAATGTTTCACTTGGAAAGAAATATCGCTGGATGTGGATCAAAGTAAACTGACCTGTGGAAAGTCAATTGAAGAGAATTGAAAAGGCCAGCGTTCCCGGCGAAGAACTATTTATTGGCGCTGAGCTTATCTACAATCCACTAAGAAACCGGTTGCAGGCTGATAAAGCCGCTGTATTACTGTTAATTAAATATAATGCACCATTTATTAAGTTTCATCACTAAATATATTTTAAATGTTATAAAATAAAACTTTTACTATACTAAAAATACCAATATAACTTAAAATTGGTTAATATTAAGATAAAATGCACATCTTATTTGTTTCGTACGTTTTATGGATGACAATATTATCGTTGGAAGACCTTTTTTTCTGTACAAGCATAACCGAAAGCACAAAAGCTCAAGACATGATTGAAATTCTTGACAAGTTTATAACAGAAAATGATTTAGATTGGGAAAAAATGTATTCGTGTATGTACCGATGGTGCTCGATCAATTTCAGGCAGGTATGGAGAAATATAAGCGCGTATTCGTCAAAAATGCACATTCGCATGTCATTTGTAACCCATTGCATCGTCCTTAGGGTAGGGCGTACGTCGAAGTCAATGAGCTCTAAATTAAACCAGGTATTAGAACGTGTCTTTGAAGTAGAGTAAACTACATAAAAACTAAACCGTTTTATTCACACTTTTACATGAAGGTCATGGAAGAAACTCCAGATACTTTGCCGAACCAGACTTTGCCAGAACTGGCATATTTGTGCGGTATATTTGATAAACTGAATAATTTCAATTTGTCTCTACAAGGCAATAACATACACATTTTGAAACTATTGGAGAAAATTGCAGAGTTTAGGAAAACACTGAAAATTTTGTGGATAAAAAAATCAAGATCGATCGCGGTCTAGATTCTTTCCCGCAATTACAAGTACATAAATGGCATATTTTAATTCTCTAATTAGCTTGTTGTCTCAAAAGTCAATCTGTATTGAATAAAAAAGTTTCTATTTCTATTGAACTTTCATGCGACGGTAGCCTAAAACAAGATTCATGTGTTGAAAAGCTCTAAGAATTTTCATTCTCTTTGTTACATATTATTTATATGATTTTCAGCTCTAGCTGTAATAAAAAGCAAATATTTCTCTAAGATCAATGTGGAGCAAGAAATGAGGGTATCGGTGTCAAGCCTTATTTCACGTTTTGATATTATGTGGGGAGATCACCAAGCTCACGCATCACATTAACTAACTTGTCATTGTATTTATTTCCTATTTTTTTTAAATAATAAATGTCTTTTTGTGTGTTAATATAAATATGAAAACGTTTGTGCCGACATATCATTGTTTACTATTTCGACTAGCTAGGGCGCCGAAACCAAATACTAAACCTTTGAGTGTGCGGCGAACTGAAAAGCTTTGGGAACCCCCTGCTCCAATTTCTAGTGGTTGCTTCGCCTGCCGAACACTTTTATTCATAATTAAAAATTAAAAATTTTGTACAACTGACTTCAATATAAATTATTAAGAATAACTCAAAAACTACTGGTCAGACCTGGATCAATCCGACGAATTCGCGGGGAACAGCTAGTTATTTTAATATCGATAAAAGAGTTTTGATTATATCGATATTAAGAGGTCGGTGTTATCGTTATCGATATTGCTGTTTTTACTATGTACATGAGTGCAAACCTAGTTTTGGGGAAGGAATGATGAGTGTTGGGTTGGGATGCAGGTGCGTACGACGGGAGCCGTGGACGCGATGACGCGGCAGCCGGTGAAGGGGCGGCGGCGAGGCGGCGGCGTGCGGCTGGGCGAGATGGAGCGCGACGCGCTCATCTCGCACGGCGCCGCCTTCCTGCTGCAGGACCGCCTGTTCCACTGCTCTGACAAGACCGAGGTAACACACACACACAGCCACCACTTATTGGCGGTCATAACATACATTTGACCGTATGGGAGCCTCAAGGCCACTCAGCAAACTGCGGGGAGGGATACGCTCGGAGTTTATCTTCGTGATAAACTTCTTAATGAGGATATCCGCAGTGAAAGTGTAGGAATGCGATGGATCCAGTTGGGTCAGGAGCTTGAACTTGCTTTATGGCATCAAGGAAGGACTTGTGATCAGTAGTAATTATGTTGATATTGTCTAAAGTATCTTAATGAACTTAAGATACATTTCAAATTTTTCTTAGGATTGAAGCTTTTATGTGTGAAAAGTAATTATTTTTCTCTATCGGCCATAAAATCCATAGCTGAGCATCAGACTCAGCTCAGTTTACGTTGTTTGGATTTGCTTTAATCGTGACGTTTGGCAGGCGGTTAAGTCATAAGACAACGTTGTTTTCATTAGTTTTCACCGATTGTTGCAATGCCGCCATCTATTGGAAACCATAAGAAGTTTTCTCTTAGTCATCTCTTATGACACCCACGGGACGAACCTACACTCAAAGAATTTACTACAACAAAAAATGCTTATTACATCACTGCTGTTTTAATTTTAATGAAACTTATTTACGTCATCAGTTACATTCTAAATAAATATACAACATGTAACAAAAACCCTGTGGTTCCTGTTAAGTATGTTATCAGGATCATTATTCAAACGTATAGAAATAACTTTTTTTTTAAAACTCGAACAATATTTTATTATATTTTACTAAAATAATTTTATGCATATTGTATGTGGTTTTATTATCTCTGCATTGTCCGGGTGGTAAGAGGATTGTCAAAGACCCCGTTACTTACCTTTATCGTTTACTTAGCTTTAGCATCGGCTAGTGTCAGTAAGAGGTAATAAAACCACATAATTTTTTTTAATAAAATAAAAAAATATGTTCGAGTTCTTAAAAAAAAGTTATTTCTATAGGTTTGAATACTGATCCTGATAACGTACTTAACGGGAACCATAGGGATTTTGTTACATGTTGTATAAATAGAGTCTATAAACAATTTTTTCAGGCAATAATCTGCACAAAATGCGGCACTCTCCTTGGTCCGATAGCGAGCAAACTCGACGAGAACAAAGAGAGCTGTCGTCTGTGCGGCCAAGGGAATCTCGTCTCTATCTCCATACCGTACATCTTCAAGTTCTTTGTCACACAGCTCGCCGCAGTCAATATCAATGTTAAAATCAATTCCAGCGGTCGTTTCGCTATTAAAAGTTGTTAAGTAATTCGCTAGCATGCAGTTTTATTTCCAAATAGATAGATTAATAAGTTATTTCCTTTTATTGTTATGATTTACGTAATACAATGCGATACTACCTTATCTAATCTATATTGTTATAATTACTCCATATCGTTGAGAAAAAAATGATACTTCTTCATAAATGTTGCATACTAAATTCATAACTCCAAAATAAATGTCAAACATCTCAATACTTAATTAATAATTTTAAATGGGGAAGAACTGTGTCCTATCGATACCATAATTTTTCCTTGGGATCACACTAGACGCAAAGCTACAATGGGGTCCCCATATATCAAAACTAGCAAGCAGAGTTAGTTCTGCAGCATAAGCTATAAAAAAGATTAGAAATCTTATCAGTGTTGAAACAGCTAGACTAGTTTACTTTGGTTATTTCTATATGTTGCATGATATTTTGGTATGGGAACACGCAACTGACACTGAAATTATACTCTCATAAGCACAATTAACCGTTCTTAAGTGGCACTACATTTGGTTTTGTAAGTTTATACATTTCATGATTATTATTTGTGTTAAGTGGATACAGTTTGCAAACAAATCTACCCTGTTTTTTTTTTTGTTCATCTTGTGGTTTTAACGCCATTTTAAAGATAGCGTTATTTGGAATCGGTATATCGAAGGCTTAAAATTATTGAAATTGTTATCCTTATCAGTTAAAATTGCTGAAGTAAACTTCTTAAGGTAAATTTTAGTGTGTTGTGCTTAAAAAAATGCTTTTGGACGCTGCTGGAGCTGTAGCTTTAACTGATGAGGGGTACAGTCAGCGGCGAATTGCACGAACAATTGGTGTACCGCGTACAACGATACGAGACGCAATCTGGCGATATCGGCAGACTAGTCGTTACACACGAAGACACGGTCAAAGGCCACATCGATGCACGTCAGCTCGGGACGATCGTTTTATTGTGAGTAATGTGTTATGAGATCGTTTTCATACAGCGGCTGAGGTTGGAAATCGTCTGATTGAAGTCAGAAATGTCAGTATAAGTGAAAGAACAGTAAGAAGACGGTTGACTGAGAGAAATCTGCCAGCATTTCGTCCAACCCGCTTTCCAGAACTCCTCAGATGGCACAGAACAGTCAGGTTACGTTTCACGCGTGATCATGCTAATTGGTCAATGCAGGAATGCAAGAATGTTTTGTTCTCAAATTAAAGCTGAATTGCTTTAAGAGGTCCTGATGGACGCCAGCGTGTCTAGAGATGCCCAAACGACAAGTTTGCTCCATGTGCAATAGTGGAAACGGTTGGATATCAAGGAGGCTCAATTATAGTATGGAGAGGCATCAGTTACGAGGCTCAGACCGACCTCGTTATCTTTGAAAGTGGTGCTGTAAATGCTCAGAGGTACGTCGAAGAGGTTCTGCAAGAACATGTCATTCCTTTTGCCCCTTTTATTAGCCAGAATTTTTTCCGATACATGATAATGCTAGAGCTCATGTTGCCCGGAGTGTTACTGAATACCTGAATGAGGTCGGAATTCAAACATTGCCATGGCCCGCACGCAGTCCCGACTTCAACCCAATAGAACACGTATGGGACAACCTCAAAAGATGCATTAGAGCCAGGATACCAGTTCCTATCACCACCACACGAGAGTTGAAAGCAGCTGCAGTAGAGGAATGGCACAACATTCCTCAATCTGATATCCAGGATATTATAGATGGGCTACCAAACCGGCTGCAAGAAGTCATTAGTGACAGGGAAGGCAACACCCATTATTAAATTGGAAGAATGAAAAATGTTTTTATCAAAAATTGAAATTAATTTTTTACAATAAATAGTATAGAAATATAAGTTTCTAAAAATACACTTAATTTCCGTTTATTCAAATTTTCATAAAAATTTCTAAACATTTTCATTACATTTTATCATTTATTGTTTTGTTTAATGTACCACTAAAACACAAAAACAAAAATGAAGTTTATTTTCAGCAATTTTTGGAAATAATTAAAAAATATGTGGTGGGCGGTTAATTGTGCCTGTGAGTATATTTTATTTTACAGAAGAGGGCCATAATAGCAATCTATGATTTAAAACCTAGAGTCCCTCAGGCGAACATTTAAGGAAATTAATATATTACAATACAATTACAAAAATGTAATGTAAGATGTACAAAATAAAAGTAGTTTTAAAAAAAAGTGATTTTGATAATACTAAGTAAGTAGTAATAATAATAATAAGTAATAATAATACTTAGTAAGTACTAAGTATTATCAAAATCACTAATCGCTATTTAAATAAATGAACACTACCGAGGAGACTTTACGTTATAAAATATTCATGGAACGCATTAGAAGTAAATACAATATGTATTCTAAAATAAATGATATATGCAAACTAACTATAACAACTGTAAAACACACACATTATGCTAAATAAATAAATAAATAAAAAAAAAAAAATAACAGCAACATAGCCCATCACGATGCAACATAGGCCGGCCTTACTGCAACGTCACCTTCTTTTTTGGTGCTAAAAGTATTATTTATTATATTACTTAGTATATTACGACAGACAGGGTGACGACAATTGACTCTCGTTGAATGACCCAGGCTAGTTGTCGGCGCAGTTCTTTATACTGCTCGTACGAGTGGGGAAATTTAACCGCTTATTGGTAATCTACCCTCACTCTTAACATGATATTCATTCTGTAAATGCTAGGAACAGACAAGCTAGTAGTATCAGTTACTCGACTCCACCGGGTCAGCAATTCCTTCTTGGGGCGATGCATACGCTTTTACAATAAAATTCCAGAAAATTACAAAATTTGGCCTCCCCCAAAGTTCAAAATCTTTATCTAAAAAAGTTTGTATAAAAATGGTTATTATAATAAATATTAAGGAATTTATGGATGATAATAACCCTTCTACGTGGTAGAGCCATGCTGCAGCTATATTATGGTTGTAGCACGAATGGGTCGGCTCGACCTGGGAAGGACCACGCTCTCACAGAAAACCAGCGTAAAATAGCAGCTTAACGCTGCTGTGTTTCGTATGGTGAGTGTAGAGAACCGGAGATCCTTTTTACTGGCAAAGAGGCATTCCATCTTAGTCCTCACGGGTGACAACGCATCTGCATCTTGAGTCTTCATTGAGGATAGATGTAGATGTCTATGGGTCACAGTAACCACTTACCATCAGGTGGACTGTGCGCTCGTTTGTCACCCGATCCTATAAAAAAAAACCCTTGGGAATGAGGTAATTGCTACCAAGCTATTTACAATTTGTTTTGTGTGGTTAATTGTGTAACATATATTATGATTGTAAGATGTTTTTTTTTATATGGTCCGCTAGGTTTCTTCCTGGCACACAGGTTTTTCCGAACCAGTGGTAAATTAAACAAGAATGACTTTCAATAAGTATTATTTATAATCTATATTGAATAAAAAGTTTCTGTTATAATGTATAAACACATGTTCAACTTGGTCTGTCTAAAACAAGCAGAAAGAATAATAAACAACGAGATATTATACGTAATAAAATACATGCCATAGACAAATAAATTGTTGAACCACTCGCTGCAGCAACATTAGCAAGCTGTAAGCCCAACATTTAGGACTACTTGACGACTTATGTCAATATCAGAACGCCTTGATGTCTAACATCAATTTCAGAATGCCTTGACTTCATTAACTTTAACTAACATTAACGTCAAGAACGACTTGACAACTAGTATAAAAGGTCGGTAAAAAAGTTTCTTCGTACTTTATATTCAAATTCCAAAAAAATTTATACAAAATTCATTTTTTTAAAGTTTAATAACATTTAACTATATAAGTATGTGCCATTTTGTTCAATAACTTGACATAATTCCGTTGCTGTAGAAATTTTGGGATTTTTGATCAAAAAATATGATAGTTTTGACAGTCCTCTCTTGACGTTAACCTAACACTACCCAAATAATTCTGAAAAGACTAAAACGGGTGAAAACCTGAGGGTGCAAGGTCAGGACTAAATGGTGGATGCATTAACACTTCCCAACCAAGCCCTCTCAATTTTTGCTGAGTGGCCAAAGATGTGTGTTATCCGACGTTATCATGATGAAAGGACCACTCCTATTCTGTTGATCAATTTCGACTTTTAACTTAATTTCTTGTTTGAGTCTCATTATTTGTTGGCAGTAGAGATCCGCATCGATGGTTTTTCCCGGCTTTTACCGCCGTCATAGAATAGAATGAAATGATTTTTTTTATTCAATATTGATTATTACATAATACTTATCCGATTCGTTGCGGCGAACAAATATTTCATGACACGCCGGGCGTGTCAAGCGCCACAGACACCTAATTAAGTTTATTTGACATCAAACATAAGTTACAAATGGAAGGATACTTGTTTTTAGTGGGTAACTACGTGTTTTTTTACGCGTTTTCTTTGAAATTGAGAGAAAGTGACTTTTTTTATGAAGAGATTACAAACCTTTTGTATTATTTTTTCTTGTTATAAAAAAATCATTTATATAAGTAGGTACAGCTAAATCACCCTGGAAACCTTGGTTTTTATTAAATTAAATTTTCACCTAATAATAACATTTGTAAATATCAAACAATGAAGAACCTTAATTTGAAAAAAAAAGGTATATCATTCATTGATATTTACAAATGTTAAATATTATTTAATGTTATGCAAATGTAAAAGTAAAGTCGATCTGAAAACGTCTAATTAGTAAGAATAGCAAAACAATTGTTTTCAAAAGGAAAAAAACGCCGGCGCTATACGGCGGCGGATTGACAAAGGACTATTTATTAGCGAACTTTTTTTATGCATGAACGGTTTCGAACTGCTTCAAGCAAAAATAAACCTTATACCATATCACAAGAGCACATGGTACTTCGTAGTCATATGATAGTAATAAGACGGCAGTTCAACCATTTTAAGCAAAATTAAACAATAAAACAAACGCATTGTTTTTTTTAACAGTAGACTTGTTCTCCAGAAATTTATTTACAACTTGAGTTGGTGAGCGATCGCAATGAGTGCTATTATTTGTTACTTATTAGACAATTTTTCCATAACATGATTTAAAACCCACAAAGTAAAAATAATACCATGTACACGATAAAAAAAGGTTGTCAACCCCTAAAAATTTCAAATTTTCAAAATATCCAGAAACGAAAAGCATGCAGCATGCATGAACTATTCGTAAAATAATGAATATTTTGTTGTGGATAAATTTTCCAAAAAAGCAATTTGAGCGAATTATAACGATTTTTAAAAAGACACGACTCGCGTGTCCTACGCCACACACAAAAGTAATCGATGGCACGCCTGGCGTGTCACCCGCACTGAACCGGTTATTGAAAGTCATTCTTTTATTCCTGAGAAGAACCATAATAAACGATGCCCTTCCAATCCCATTTGTGCTACTCTTACTGACACTGCATTAGGTCCATAAACGTCATAATTTTTTTCGCAGCTTGTGTCGCAAATTTCCCTTTTTTGTAATAAAACTTCACAAAGTATCGAATTTCTTCGTCAAATTCACTCATTTTAGCGGACAGAAAAACAATTGAAAAAAATGGCGAGAAAGTGTTTTTTACTTTTTATTTTTCGTTTTCTTAATTTCCTTATGTATTGATATTAAAACCAGGCAGATACAAACAGTACAACCAAAGAGGTTTTCTTCAATATTATGCAAACAAAATAAAAAGAAACTTTTTCCCTGGCCTATGGCATATGGCCTATACGTTCAGAACGACTGTAAAAACCTATTATACACGGTAGAGCCACGCTGCAGCTATGTTATGATCGAAGCAGAAATGCTTCGACTCGGCCGGTGAAGGACCACGCCCTCACAAATTACCAGCTCAATGCCGTTGTTTCGTATTGGGAGACAGAACATGTCTCAGATTCTCTACACTCTCGTTAAGATCTCTCTGTACGTGGTAGAGCCATGCTGCAGCTATATTAGTAGTATAGTTGTAGCACGAATGGGTCGGCTCGACCAGGGAAGGACCACGCTCACAAAATACCGGCGTAAAATAGCAGCTTAACGCTGCTGTGTTTCGTATGGTGAGTGTAGAGAACCAGAGACCCTTTTTACTGTACACTGACAACGCATCTGCATTTTGATTCGCAAACGAGGATAAATGTAGATGTCTATGGGCCACAGCAACCACTTACCATCAGGTGGACTGTGTGCTCGTTTATCACCCTATCCTATAAAAAAAAAATTGCAAGTTGCAAGCGTTGGACGAAGCCAAGGTCCTGTAAATCGTTTGTACCGGATCATTCAAAAATGTGATTGCAATCATTAATACTATTACAGGACCCGGGACACATGACCGAACCATTCACGATTAATACATGCCTACCTGAGACGGGTTATTCCGTCCATCCACCGTAGGGTAGATACTCAGAAAACGCATATTCATCTATCCACCCCATACGGGGTCGATACTCGAATTTCTTATATTATTTTTCTTCAGATTTTCTCCCGGTTGTGTAGTCATAGAAACATGATAAAACCTGACCCAAATATACTTAGTAGACTTAGCATACCTACAAAAATATATACATACTTCTTGTTAGAAAAATCAACGCTGAAACAACTTTTACGGTGGTAGAGCCACGCAGCAGTTTTTGCTGTTGCACGTATGGGCGGCTCGAGCCGGGTTAGTACCACGACCTCTCAGAATACCGGCGTGAAGTGGAAGCTCTGCTTCCGCGTTTCGTCTGGTGAGTGCAGGTGACCGGAGACCCAATTCTCCCCCCCCCCCCCATCAACATGGTAGCGGAATTACATCATAAACGACCCCAGGAGGGTAGGGTAGTACCCCTGGAGAATCCCTCGCTGAGCATCCACGACCATGTTATTTCACTCCTGAGCGTGGGTGCTCACGCTGCCCCGCGTATTCTGGGGGGGGGGGGGGGCAAAATTCCGCTCAACACAATAACTCCTCGGGTCAAACTGAGCAACAAGACCAAGGCGACCCCTGCCACGCTATCCGTCAATTTCTGCAACATCAGGGGACTTCCCTCGAACCTAAACGCCGTCCACCACCATCTCGAGACGGCGAAGCCGGTCTTGCTCTTTCTGACCGAGACGCAGGTGTCCTCTCCGGCTGATACTTCGTATCTCTCCTGCCCGGGGTACAAATTGGAGCACTCCTTTGTGCCTCGGGCTGGAGTTTGCGTGTATGTCAGAGAGGACATCTGTTCTCGACGCCTCGGCAGTCTTAAAGGTTCGGACCTGTCCATCCTTTGGCTACGCGTAGACAGCGACGACCATCCGCGCATCTACGTGTGCCTCTATAAGTCCCATAGCGGTAATGCCGTAACAGACCGACTCATCGACCACGTCCAAATGGCTACAGATTCCTTGCTACAACAGGTCCCATCCGCAGAGATCGTGATCCTTGGCGATTTTAACGCCCACCACGCCGAATGGCTCTGTTCACGTTTAACCGATCATGCAGGGAGATCTGTTTATGACTTTGCCTTAGCATATGGTCTGACACAACTGGTTACATCGCCTACGCGGATTCCAGATGTTGAGGATCATACACCTTCCCTGTTGGACCTTCTGCTGACCTCTCATCCGGACGGATATCAGGTTTCCGTCGATGCCCCTCTTGGCTCTTCGGACCATTGTCTGATCCGGAGTGTGGTGCCACTCACGCTCCCCTCGCGGTTGCGTTCTGCAGGTTGCCGCCGTGTTTGGCATTACAGGTCGGCGAATTGGGACGGAATGCGGTCTTTCTTTGCATCATATCCATGGCGGGTTTGCTTCTCGCCGGATGATCCCAGCGCTGTTGCTGACTCTGTCACTGATGTGGTGCTACAGGGAATGGAACTATTTATTCCATCATCTGTGGTACCCATCAGAGGCAGATTTCAGCCTTGGTTTGGTCGCTCCTTTAAGACTGCATTACCCAGTAAGCAGGAGTGTTATCAAGCCTGGGCTTCGGCGACTCGGGATGTAAACACCAGCATGCTTAAACAGAAGTATAACTTCGACTCCAGGTCCTTCAAAAGAGTTATTGGTCGGCGGTGTAAGTGCTCCATGCCGGATGTGCGGTTCTCACAGCGCTCGGTTCGCAAAGCACTCCTCTCCCTTGACATCCACAAGTCGAGTGGGCCTGACGGAATCCCCCCGAATTGTGCTGAGGACGTGTGCTCCGGAGTTGGCACCGGTTCTAACGCGTCTTTTTCGGTACTCCTACTCCCTAGGCGTAGTCCCGAAATCATGGAAGACAGCTTTTGTCCATCCGATCCCTAAAAAAGGTGACCGCTCAGACTCGTCCAACTACAGGCCTATCGCCATCACCCCCTTGTTCTCCAAAATAATGGAATCCGTTATAAACTGCCACCTCATGCGGTACCTTGAGGATCACCAGCTGATTAGTGACCGCCAGTACGGTTTTCGTCGGGGTCGATCAGCTGGTGATCTTCTGGTCTACTTAACTCATAGATGGGCGGAGGCAGTAGAGTCCAAGGGGGAGGCATTGGCCGTTAGTTTGGACATTGCGAAGGCCTTCGATCGGGTTTGGCACAAAGCGCTTCTTTCGAAGCTCCCTTCCTATGGGCTTCCCGAGAAATTATGCAATTGGATCACCAGCTTTCTTGCAGATCGGAGCATCAAGGTCGTTGTAGACGGTGCATGCTCCTACTACAAGCTTATCAACGCTGGTGTTCCACAAGGCTGCGTGCTATCACCAACGCTGTTTCTCCTGCATATCAATGATATGTTGCTAACTAGTAGCATTCATTGCTATGCAGACGACAGCACTGGTGATGCCTTATACACCGGCCGTGCCAATATTTCTCGGGAAAACGTCGACGAGTACCGGAACAAACTTGTGTCTGAAGTCGATTCTTTGCTGAACAAAGTCTCGGATTGGGGGCGACTAAATTAAATCTAGTCCAGTTTAATCCTCAGAAGACACAAGTTTGCGCGTTTACCGCTAAAAGAACCCCTTTGTCGTATCTCCTCAGTTTCAAGGTACTCCCCTTGTTGCCTCAGCCAGTATCGGAATCCTCGGCGTCGACATATCGAGTGACGTGCAGTTTCGTGGTCACTTGGAAGAGAAGGCCAAATTGGCCTCTAAAAACCTTGGCGTGCTCAGCAGAGCGGGACAGTATTTCATGCCGGCACACCGCCTGCTACTTTACAAGGCGCAAGTTCGGCCTCACATGGAATACTGTTCCCATCTCTGGGCAGGGGCTCCCCAGTGCCAGCTTCTTCCACTTGACCGCATCCAACGCAGAGCGGCTCGAATTGTCGACGACCGAGCCCTTTCCGATCGGCTCGATTCATTGGCACTGCGAAGAGATGTTGCATCCCTTTGCATTTTCTTTCGCATCTACCATGGGGAGTGCTCTGAGGAATTGTTCGGATTAATCCCAGCCGCCAAATTTCACGAACGCACATCGAGGCAGAACTCCCGATACCATCCACACCATCTGGATGATTGGCGGTCCACCACTGTGCGATTTAGAAGATGTTTTCTTCCTCGCACAACTTCCTTGTGGAATAGTTTACCACCAGCGATTTTTCCGGACCGATACGACTTAGGGACCTTCAAGAAAAGAGCCTACTCCTTTTTAAAAGACCGGCAACGCATCTGCAATTCCCCTGGTGTTGCGGTTGTTCATGGGCGGCGGTAGTCACTTACCATCAGGTGAGCCGCATGCTCGTTTGCCCCCTCTCCTATAAAAAAAAACAAAAGGAGTGCCTCAGTATTATTTTTGGGAGTGGTCATTATGTATAATAGTATTATATGTATTCTGTGAGCCAGTGTGCTTATGTTAGTATTTCTTCTCCTAGACGGATTAACTGATTTAAATTAATTTTTATGGAGTACTTATGAAGTTACCAAGATGGTTCTCAGCTGTATTTGGACCCGATAAGTGAAGCTATCATCTAAATCCAGAAATTACCCATGCGAAGCTGGGGCAGATCGCTTGTAATAGAGATGTTGAGACGTAGTTGTCCAACTGCCACTTCTATTGTTGAAGCGGTTATGAATCTGTTTCATTAGTGAATAAAATTAAAATAAATGGTTTGTATTGAAAAAGATTTATTTGACGTTAATCTTAGCCTAGTTTTCCAAGTGAATGATAAGTAAAAGCAAATTACATCTTAGTGTATTTTAGATTAAAAATAAACTATTAATAAAGTCTGCTTCTATATTCTTTATAGGTACTGCTTGAGCTCTATTGTTAAGACGGATCAAATGTTTATGGGAAATTGCGTGTTTAACAGTGTTATTACAAAAAGTTTTTATTTACTCCCAGGTTACTAGTCAGTTTCAATAAAGTTCCATTAAAAATATGCGAAATAAATAACAAAGATCGCGGCAAGGGTTCTGCTTTCATGACAGACCCTTTTTAAGGCTCTTTTGATGAACGGTGTGAAGGTTTGCAAACGTTACCTCGATTCCCGCAATTGTCGAGTAAATTAGTAAATATAGCGCAGAGAATTTTAGAAATAGTCAATACAAGGAGCTCTTGCCTACTATTTACTTTCTTAATGACACACTTACTTCTAAGTTGATAACTACGCGACGCGAATAATGATTTTTTGAGTGATCACCTTGAGCACTTCCATTTGACAGAGTGGTGAAACTGTCTAAAGTCTAACAGCCTTTGATTTGCTGCAAAAAAAATATCCGATTGGACAGCGCATGTGCGTCAATTCCTTCATTGTCTTTGCAAACGCGATAAAGACTCACTTTCGTATAATCTTTGCGCACCACGTCAACTTTCATTGCTTAAAATATAATACCGTACCATTTCATAGTATTCGCGGTTCGAATATTTTCGTTGAGTTATTGCTAACGAAATGACAAGTAATACTACATACGAAAATTTAGAAATAGTAATCAAAGCTGTGTAACGCCTAACGGAATTGGCGAAAATACGCGCTTGTCTTTACCGAGTCAAAACAACTTTAATAAAAAAAAAACAACCTAAACAACCTAAATCTGTAACCGAAGATCGAGCGCCAAACGCCACCGACTACTTCCGAATTCAACACTCCCTTACAAATGCGTGCGTGCGTAGTAAAATAGTATATGTTACATATTTAAGAATAACAGTAAGTTACAATAATGCATTTCCACACATTTTGAATATCTCCAAACGATTCCTTGGCGCAGTGGATTAGCAACGAGTTGCATCGCTAAGGGCCGCGGGTTCAACGGGAACAAGTAAATGTATACCCTACAAGTAATTGTTCCGAGTCTGGATGTTTGTCCTTGTGAAATTTATGTATGTAAACAACGATACAGGGAAAATCCTAGTGTGGAAGTAACGTTTTTTAATTAAAAAAAAAAAACAATTGAAATGACAAAAGGACAAAATGTTTGAGCTTTTTTAATTTTATTTTTTACCATTTGCCTGTTCTGAACCTCCTTAGTAAATTTGGGCATATACTGCAAAATAGCCCAGTATATTCAAACTGTTTATCGTATTTTTTATTAGATACTATTGTTCTATTAAAATACATTAAGATATTTGCATTATAACAATAATTTTCAATTTATTGTATAATCGATATAGACAAAACAAACTGTTTCCCTAAGCAATCTTAGGAACGAATATGAAACGGCACATGTGCCAATATCTCGAAAAGCCAACTACAGCCCGGTGAAGATCGCTAGCCGAGAAAACGCGCGGACTTTACACGTTTAAACAGCGATAAAGTGTCATATTTATGGCTTTTTCTGTCGAGCCGAATATAAATAAAAAAAAATTGGCGGGAACTTAACCGCCGCGCCAGCAGATTGCTGATTTTGATTCGTAAACTGGTGCGATTTGGTGTATTAAACGTCTGCGCCTATGAATCATTAATGGAAACGATGATACAAGTACTCCGATGGTAATGTGAGATACCATCGCTATCGACTGTCTGCTGGCTCAAACTGCCGCCAAAATCTCCCAAAAATGAGACGGATAACGAATTATCATAAAGAATAATTTCTTATTTACTTGACACTGGTAAAAGTATAACAGTACGAGTCCATTACCAGGGAAAAAAACATGTTTTGTAATAAAACCGTATTATATCTGGTCTACCTACCACACATCCTCTCTCAATTTTCTCAAATTTTAAAATATGAGCAGCACCTTTTACGTCTTAACAAATAAACACTCAAATAATAAAAGTATGAACTAAAAACTAAGCACTACAGGCACTCAGTCCTCATCCATTGCTTCTTCCTCTTTCTTTTCCTTCTTCTTCTTTTTCTTCTTCTTCTTAGCGCTCGCCACTGCTTCTTGCTCCTGTTCTTGTAGAGCCTCTTCCATTGCCTGTTTCATGACATCGATGTTTTTCATTGGGATGTCACCCGTCTCGTAGAATTTCAAACGATCCTCCACTTGCTGACGGAGTTTCTCACCAAATATTGTTGTTTGTGTTTCTGAAATGAATATGTTATAACAATTCTTATTATAATTTTTCTCCTACTCATAATCTACCATATATGAATATCATATGGTTTGAAATTGGCAAGAAATATCAGTAAACTACTAATAAGGCAAGTCAGTAAATGTTTCGACGATATCAATTTTTTACTTTATCATAATCATCATACCATGTTAAAGAAAAGCTTTTCAGTAATGGTTCTAAGCCAGGTATACAAAAAATTAAAGAACAAATGGTAAAATTAAGAATTTTGTACAACCGACTTCAATATAAATAAAATCAGAACATCATCAATGTAGTCGAAGTAAATTAAATTATTAAGGATATTAATTATTAAGGATACGCATTATTAAGGATAACTCAAAAACTACTGGTCAGACCTTCATCAAATTTATATGAAACCACACGAGAAGCACCAGCTTTCAAATAAAAAAAGAATCGTCAAAATCGGTTCATCTAGAAAAAAGTTCTGAGGTAACACAAAAAAAAATACAATCCATATCAACCTCCTAATTTTTGAAGTCGGTTGAATATGTTTATTCAAGACTAAGTGGCATGCAAATAAGACTTCAATTTGATATAGATGTGTAGTTCATATTTACTAATATATTTCTTTTACTTTTAGAAAACAATTCAGTAGTTAACTATGTGGTTATAGTTCATATAATTTCATAACAGGAAAGGAAACAAATCAAGAGATAGGCAGCAGTGTCTTCCTAATAACGACTAAAAATAAAAAAACCTGTAGTTGCCAACCCACTTGCCAAGCGTGGCAACTGTGGCTAATATCCCCCCTATGAAACGATCTATGGTGAGGCCTATGTTCAGCAGTGGGCTGTAATAGGCTGTAACGGCAACGGATTTCATAACGAGTCCAAATAAATAAATATTGTAAAATACATGTAGCAATGATTTGACACATAATTAAACAATATAATTATGTGTTTATACATCGCATGCTTTTAATATTGCACACTTTTATTACCACAAAAGACAACTTTTGCAATAGATCAAGGTGTGCAGTCACAATGATCGATATCACTATTAGGAATATTTATTCCATTATACTATTATCATTATATTATTATAACTATTAACACTATACTCCCTATTTTGTAATTACCAAAAAAAATTAAATGCTCTCAGTTTATGTTTATACACATTTAGGTAGACAAAACTTTATAAAATTAACTAAACAAATATCTCAAAAAAAAGATAATAATTAGTTACTCGTTTATTATAGTAGGTACGTATAATAGCAGAGGATTGACTCCAATTCGATCCATTCATAAATCACTTACTGTCTCGCTCACGCGCCGGTCGGCATTCATTTCGTCAGCCATTGAAGTAAGAGATAGAATACAATGAGTAAGAAAAGAGTTGTGACGTGGGGTACTGTACTAATGGTGGGAGATGGAACGGGAGCGTTTTATGAATGGAGTGTGTATGTGTAGTATCTTCTACTGCATATGCCAATAAAATTACTCTTTTTTTTTTTTTTTTTAAATTACTCTAGTTTTTGGATAAAAACAAACCTCTATAATGTGATAGATAAATCATAAAATATTCTGACAGTATAAAAGCTTTTACAAAAATTTACTTCGCAAATATCCGCGTTATAAAATAAAATGATGTGTCTTACTATGGCTAACCGCTAAGTACTACACTTAGCGGTTAGCCACCGTAGAGTCTATATCACCCGAGGATGCCTCGTGTAGAGGCGAAACACGTGTCGTATTATCGTCAGTGGTGTGTCTTGCCTAGTGTAGTGGTGTTGGAAGTAGCGGTGCTGGGATTAGTGGTGACGGCGATAGTGCACGCAATTGAGGGAGGGCGGGAGGTGCTTCTTCATACTAGGTAAGACACATCATTTTATTTTATAACGCGGATATTTGCGAAGTAAATTTTTGTAAAAGCTTTTATATAATGGATTTCCGCAAAGTAACGCCTGATTCTATTAATTATATTCTGACAGTGCCATTGTTAATAGTAACATTTGCTGCTACTGTCCTTAAATTTTTTTTGGTACTTACAAAATAGTTGTATATTATATATATATATATATATATATATATATATATATATATATATATATATATATATATATATATATATATATATATATATATATACACATGTGTGTATATATACATCACTATTTATTCTATCATTACCGCTCATTAAAGTCCACTGTTGAACATAGGCCTTTTTCATAGATGGGATATTTGCATATAGACTTATAATTTCTATCTCTCTGCGCCACGGAGCCATCAATAGATGCAGACGCAGTCAAATGACTATAACCCAAATTATTATAACTATCCCGATACAATTCGATTACCTACAACAAGTGAGAGCAATGCCTAGTAGCGCCGGTTATTTAACCCCACTGTTGTTGTGACGTCACATGTCATTGTTACTTGTTTATGAATTTTCCAAGTATCAGGAAAATGCTGATGGCTGTGTGCTCTCTTTCGAGGATGGTATGGGGTAGAAACTTCTCTTACGCCGCCATTATAGGGCAACCATCCTCCAACTAGAGACGTTGCATTAATTTTTTTTGCCACAAATTTAGATATAAATGAAAGAATATTCATTTACAGTATATTTAATTTTTTTTATTAACCATTCTATATTTTTAGTAATTATTAATAAAACAGTTAAATTTTGGAATGGAAAAAAGACTTGTGATTGGTTGTGATTGTGAGCCAATTGCAATCATGCTATACTTTTTTTTTAATATTAAAAAACATGCAACTTTTCTATTCTTTAAAAGCTGAGTGTTCATTCTTTTATACAGTCTATTCAAGCCCACTCTGAACATAGGTATTACCAGCAGAATGCCTCATAGAGGGGATAATTACCACCACGCTTGGCAGAAGGGTTGGCAACCGCATTTTCTATTCATTATGAGTTCTTTCTCATTACTCTATTTCATTTCCCTCCGTCGCCTCTTCAACGCCCACTGGTTTATATGAGGTAGTGGTTTCTCTTACGTCAACCACAAGACTCCTTTATATCATATAAAATAAATCAAACAATAAAAACAAATGTGTTACATACCGGAGAAGCAATCAATCCTTGAAGCGATGGAGCACTTGTTGGCCAGATATCTGCTGATCCGACCTTTGTTCTTAAGACCGGCGCGACCGATAAAAGTAGAGTGATACAGCAGACCGTACTTGGGTGTGTTGGAACGAGTTTTCAGAGCACGAAATAGAGCTTTCTCGGCACCTGAAAATAATTTATATTGTAATTTTTACAAGGCCATACTTCAGTCGCAGGCTAAGAAGAACATACAGTCAGTCATCGCGTTTGATGTTGTCGGAAAAGGCGACATAAACAATAGATTGTTAGGGTTGTCAGAACAGGAAGTAATAAAAAAATAAAAACTTCCTTTATTTTATTTCACGTTTAAAAAAATTTATGTGTTGTTTTTTATAGTATAGGGTGACAAACGAGCACACAGTCCACCTGATGGTAAGTGGTTGCTGTGGTCCATAGACATCTACATTTATCCTCGTATGCGAATCAAAAATAGATGCGTTGTCATCCGTGAGGACTAAAATGGAAAGCCTCTTTTCCAGTAAAAAGGGTCTCCGGTTCTCTACACTCACCATACGAAACACAGCAGTGTTAAGCTGCTATTTTACGCTGGTATTTTGTGAGAGCGTAGTCCTTCCCCGGTCGAGCCAACCCATTCGTGCTACAACTATTTTTTTTTATTTATTTATTTATTCTTTATTGCATTCCTTAATCTAAAAGAATACAAAGTGCGGACTTAATGCCTTGTGGCATTCTCTACCAGTCAACCCATGGAGTGGTGAGAATTTGAAGTAGGTGTAGCAATATAGAATAAAAACAAAATAGAAATGTATAATTAATTACGTTATATATACATTTTACTAATATACTATTAATATAGCTGCAGCGTGGCTCTACCACGTATAAAACGTGTATGTGGAAACTGATGAAATTAATTTTTTATCTTTAAATAAGGACGACCCACAGTTTTTACCGCACATGTAGTGTGAACCTTTTTATTTGCGTGACAGGACAACCCTAGCGGACAGTTCCCGAGCTACTAACAGCCGCTCGGGAACTTTACGCCCGCGTCTCGCCCCGCACGATTGCCCCGTCTTCGATGACCGACTGTTAGTAGTAGTTACACTGTGCTTTAGTGGTGGGGACATAGATAACCTTTTACAAAGAGCAGTCTTACGTTCAGGTCCTCTGCATCTGTATTAGCAAATGCCATAAAAACAATGTATTTTTGACAAAAGAGCACACAGTCCACACACTCATAGACACACCTACACCTATTCTCGATTATGAATCAAAATGTAGTTGTGTTGTTACCCCTGAGAACGAAGATGGAAATATCTCATTACGACTTAAGAGGGTCTCCAGTTCTCTACACTCACCATATGAAACACAGCAGCATTTTCATAATGGTATTCTGTGAGAGTGTAATACTTCCGTGGTCGAGCCCACTAGTGCAGCGACAATACAGATGTAAAGTTGCTCTATCACAATTTGTTGTCTATGGGCCACAGCATCCACTTACCATCAGTAGGACTGTGTGCTCGTTTGTCACCCTTATTCTATATTAAAAAAAACTGAAAACAATTACTTCAATGTCGCCATTACCAGTAATTGTTTCTTGTACTGTAAAATTGCGCCTGTGCTACTTAAAACTTGGATATTTTAAAATTGCAATAGTGAATGTGTAATTTAACTTATCTCCATACCTAAAATCTGCAACGTAGAAGCAGGGTACTTGGCGAGGCTTGTGAGAGAACCAGCCTTGGAGATGAGTCTTGCACCGACTTGGTCACCAATCAGTGTGGTGAGATTCGGAGCCACAGAATTCATCTTTGTATGTAGATACTCTGCGATCTGCTTCCTGAACAAATATAAATTAATGTGACATATAACAAATAGCCATAGTAACTCAGAGGCTAAATTTCTGTAGCATAGTTTAAAAGATCTAAGCATACAGACGGCAGGAAGCGACTTTGTGTTATAGAATAGAATAGAATGATTTTTAATTAATTAAAATTAAATAGGATATTTTTTTATATATATATTGATTTTGATTATTACATAATACTTATTGAAAGTCATTTTTTTATTTACCACATGTAGATATAGGATTGGAGCAGACTTTAGGATACTATACATGATATTTGAAAATCATAGCACTATCATTTTAAATGTACACATGAATTAATACACAAATATAGAACATATGTGTGTTCATACCATGGGAGTTAATCTTGCACGTTTTTATTACAACAGACAATTGAATTGTGCATGCTATAGATCAAGACGTGCATATTCGCGGTCAACGTAATAACATTATGAAACGTAAAATTTGGACTAGAATACCATGAAATATAATATATATAACACAATAATATATATATAACATAACACATTTGTGTTTTAAAATATTCAATTTAATTCTAGATAAGAATAAGAAATGTTACTTAATAATGAACATAAAGCACATTGAATTAAAACAGACTGATTTCATCACATATTTTAACTTACTTTTAATTCAAGTGCTACGCAGTAGCCATATTCATAGTTTGAATAAGACATTGGATATTCTGATGTTATTAGACATTATAAGTACCTTCTAGACTACCTTCAGCTTTTAACTATTAATTTGTACTTCGATATATGCATAATAATATCTAATATATATATTATGCGCATATTATAAATTTAAATAAATCCTTAATGACAGCACACAATGAGTTCTAAGGGTATTCTTATATCTAATACTAGCTGTTCCCCGCGACTTCGCCCACGTGCAATTTAGGGTTTTAATTTTTTTGCAAGAAACCCTAATTTATTTTTATAATAAAAGTAGCCTAAGTTACTCCTTATGACATTAACTATATTATATGCCAGTGAAAGTCCCGTCAAAATTGGTCCAGCCGTTTCGGCGATTAGCCGGAACAAACAGACAGACAAAAATTTAAAAAAGTGTATATTTGTTTATAAGTACCATTTATACTTTCATATGCATTTAGTAAAACACTGTACTTTTGACATTACAAACAGACACTCCAATTTTATTTATTTGTATAGATTTGTCCGTAAAAGTGGTAAAATCAAAAATTTTGTACAACAGACTTCAATATAAATAATATATGTTCTCATCAATTGTTTAAATACGCATTATTAAGGATAACTCAAAAACTACTGATCAGATCTTGATCAAATTTATATAAGCACCAGATATCAAATAATAAAAATAGGATGAAAAGAATCATCAGAATCGGTTCACCAAGAAAAAAGTTCTCAGGTAACACATAAATAAGAAATACAGTCGAATTGAGTACCTCCTCTTTTTTAAAGTCGTAATTTTTTTTATAGGATAAGGGTGACAAACGAGCACACAGTCCACCTGATGGTAAGTGGCTGCTGCGATCCATAGACTCTATTACAAATCAAAATATAGATGCGTTGTCACCCGTGAGGACCAAGATGGAATGCCTCATTTCCAGTAAAAAGGGCCTCCGGCCACCTGCACTCACCAAGCAAAACGCAGAGGTAAACCTCTACTTCACGCTGGCTTTCTGTGAGGTCGTGGTACCACCCCGGTTCGAGCCGGCCCATCCGTGCGACAGCAAAAGCTGCCGCGTGGCTCTACCACTGTTAAAATATCTGTATATTTTTGCGCTCTAGTGAGAACAAAACTAAAATAGACGCGAAAAACAGGGGTAACTGTGTGTTTTTTTTTTCTATAGAGAAAATATTACTTGAATGATAATAATTGATTCTTATCTTTAGATATCTTTGTTTTCAGATTTGAACAAGATTTAGTAAAGTAAATTCAATTCTACTTTGCTTTGGGCGTCATAATTGTGTGTAGCCTTAACATTGAGATATGTCATATGATCATATCCTTTAATTTTTATGATTATTCTATCAGTGTTAACATTTGTAAAAAAAATTGTAGAAATAACGAAATTTTTAAAAAACATTAACTTTTATTTGCAATAAAAAATAACTATTTATGTGAATAAAAAAAGTAATGAAAGATCATATTATAATTTTTGACATTTGATGTCTCTACATAGTATACAAGAAAGTCGCTTCCCGCCGTCTGTAAGCTTAGATCTATTAAACTACACACAGACAGAATGATTTTTATAGGATAGGGTGACAAACGAGCACACAGTCCACCTGATGGTAAGTGGTTGCTGTGGCCCATAGACATCTACATCTATCCTTTATACGATTCAAAATGCATCTCGTTTTCAGTAAAAAAGGTCTCTAGTACTCTATACTCACCAAATGAAATACAGCAGTGTTAAGCTGCTATTTTACGCTGGTATTCCGTGAGAGCGTGGTCCTACCCCGGTCAAGCTGATCCATTCGTGCTACAACTATACCAGTAATATAGCTGCAGCATGGCTCTACTACGTTGAAAATGATTATTTATTAATGATTATCTTTATATATAAAAATCAATTACTATCCTTTAGATTCGCTAAAACTCGAAAATGGCTCTAACAATTTTGATGAAATTTTTTGTTTGCCTTTACAACCTAACGGTTCCAATTTCACAATTGGACCCGGTAAGTGGCGCTGTTGTCGAGACCCTGAAATCACACGTACGGAGCCGCATCGGATCGCTAGTATATTACATAATTCGTCCATCCGTGTGTATGTAACTGAACACCTATATGGCTGGACCGATTTTGAATGAAGAATGGTTTTGATTAACAATTTGACCCGGTAGGTGGCGCTGTCGATACAGAAATAAACCGTGCGAAACCGGGGCGGATCGGTAGTACGTAATAATTCAATCGTCAACTGCTATAAAAATGTTTCATACCTGTAGTTACTCAATGCCACAACTCTTCCAGCAAACATCTGTATATTAATCAAATCCACTGGTGAAATGTCCATTCCCATCGACATCTTTGAAGCATCAATGATAGCCTGTGCCTTCTCTGAATCGCCCAAAATTTCCGTGAGGGGTTCCAGAGACTCCTCTGACAATGACTTCCTATCCTTGATGTACTCTGCACATTTGGTGTAAAGATGGTTTTCAGGTACTATGCTCACCAGCTCCGGGAAATGGTAGGAGTACCACTCTCTACACAGAACAAACAATATATTGTGATATTATTGATATATTACATTAGATTATGTAACATTCAAATGTCTCACTAAGCAGGGACATAAGTGAATTCATCACTCCATTTTTTCGTACATTGTCCCATGGGTGTCGTTTAGCAGCAACTAAGGGAAATGATAGTATAACCATCTCATTTAAATCGGGCATAAAATACCCACACCAGTGATGGCAGCAGCGTCAAAAGTGCAAGACGTTTGGTACTGCAATCGTCAATCAACTTGTCAAGTGTGACAATTAAGGCAAATTTTCTCTACAATGGTAAAGGTTCAAGTCCAGCTATGCAATTGTAAAGGTTGAAGGAGATGCAAAGTTAGGAGGTAGAGCTAGGTTAAGAGGGTACTAAGTCAATGAGACAAGGAGCCTTTCTTCGTATTGTTCTCAATGTGTTTACTCTTTGATAACTAAACTCTCGCTATTCATTTATTTATTTGCTTTTTAGTATGTTTGTTACATGAGATACTGTTAAGTACTATATATACATACTAACTCCCTAATGGAGAGACACAAATTTATTTATTCTTAGAAATTATAGTTATACAAAATTAACACATCAAAATCAATAATTATTAAATCATTAATTAGCAACAACAAAAAATCCATCCAATAATATTCTAAAGATATCAAAAGTAAAAGTACAAAAAAAGTTAATTAACAAATAAAGAATTAATAATTTAAAAATATAACCTTGCCATGCATTTATGTACAATGAATAAAGATACTTTTTTATTATCACTATGCTTAGCAAGCGAATTGACACTGCAGAACCAAAAACCTCACACCTTTGTTGAAAGGGTCTGATCCTACAAAAACAATAAACATTTACACAGACTTGAAAAGTATTACGATGATGTACACCAGAGGAATTGGAGAGCTGTGGTAGCTCAGATGGTTAGCGTACATACATATACATAAACACTCACGCCTGTCACCCAGAGGGGTAGGCAGAGATTATGGACTTCCATTTGGCACGATCCTGACACACCTCTCTTGCTTCCTCCACATCCATATACCTACGCATACACGCTCGTCGGTTAAAGGTACTCTTGATTTGGCCCATTTTTAATATATCGCCAATTTGGCCGATAAACTTTCGCCTAGGGCGACCCTTCCTGACTATGCCGTTCACCTCTGCAACATAAATTTGCTTTGTCACTCTTTCCTCATTCACTCTTTCTACATGGCCAAACCACCGAAGCATTCCTTTCTTAATCCTGGTCACAATATCATCTTGCAAACCACACTGTTCTCTTATTAAACAATTTCTCACTCTGTCATTCAGCTTCATCCCTAACATACTCCTTAATGACCGCATTTCTACAGCATTTATTCTACTCTCATGCTTCTTCTGCCACACCCAACTTTCACTACCATACATTCAAGTAGGTACTAACACAGCATTGTGAATTGCCATACGTGCCTTTTTGGACACATTCTGACTTTTCACAATAGAGTGTAGAGCCCCATTCACTCTATTTCCTGCATTCACTCGTCGTTCTTTATCCTTATCATATTTACCATCCCTGCTAAACACACATCCCAAATATACAAACTCATCTACTTGCTCTACCAACTCCCCTTCTATTCTTATTTCACATATCGTTTTACTTTCTTCTCTTTCAAAAACCATAACTTTCGTCTTACTTGCGTTCACTTTCATTCCCTTTTCTTTTAATGTCCTGTTCATTAATGTAACCATCATTTGCAACTCGGCTGCCGACGACGCAAGTATGACTTGATCATCGGCGTACAAAAGGCATTTGACGGTTAACTCACCCATTCTTAACCCGCATTCTTCTACTTTCAAATTTTCCAAACAACTGTCCATAAATAGGTTGAACAACCACGGGGAAGCCACACAGCCCTGTCTGACACCTTTATGGATGTCAAACCAGTCCGAGTAGGCCCCGTTGATCCTGACACAAGCACTAGAGTCCCTATATAGAGACTTCAATGCCTGTATCAGACCAGCGGGTACGACTTTCCATTGACGTCAGTGGAGTTTGGTTGATACGTATTTTTACAGAAAGATTACACTATTATAAGCACACACACACAAAGTGTCAATATACGGAAACGCGTAATTTTTGAGAAAAGAATAATTGAAAATCAATTATTCATCAATAGGGATGTCGATTCTTTCCGAAAAAGATCGATTTTTTAAATAGATTCGAATTGTAAGAAGATGTATCGATTCCCAAAAAATCGATTTCTAAAATATCGATACTTTTTTCATGTTTGCATTTATAATGTAAATATAAATCCATTTTATGAGAAAAAAAATCCCCTTCATCATAAAAAAATAAGGGGACTGATTCATAAGGATTTCTGTATCTATTTTGAGACTGCTACGTCTCCGGCGCTGCGGGAAGAGCAACCTCTACGCCTTAGCGTAACAAATCGCAGGCATCCCTCCTCGCCTCCGCAGCTACGATTTGTTACAGCAGGCGGAGGCTGCTCCCCCTACGCGCCTCCAGCTCTATAAAACCACTCTAGGGGTAGGACAGACTCGTACCAGGTGGAGTCGGGGTCAATCAATTCGTTTCTTTTACATAAGTTGAACTTAACCTATTTTATTTGTTATCTGGCCTAATAGGTACTGTTAAATAAAACAAATTTCAATAAGAAATCATTTATCATGGTATCTTTTCTTGTTTTTCATAAAATGGGTTTATATTTACATTATAAATAGAAACATTAAAAAAATATAGATATTTTAGAAATCAATTTTTTGTGAACCGATACATCAGCTTACGATTTGAATCGATTTAAAAATCGACCTTTTTCGGAAAGAATCGACATCCCTATTGACGTCGACAATGACATTACAAAATGGCGCCAGTTTATTAGCAGATTAGACATAAACATTGCAAGAATAATTGATTTTCAATTATTCTTTTCTACAAAATTACGCGTTTCCGTATATTGAGACTTTGTGTGTGTGCTTATAATAGTGTAATCTTTCTGTAAAAATACGTATCAACACCAAACTCCACTGACGTCAATGGAAAGCTAAGCCGACCAGCGCTCAACCCAAATGAGTTCAGTGTTTGCCATAACACATCCCTGTCCACTCTGTCATAAGCCTTCTCCAAGTCCATGAACGCACAAAAAACTTTTTGGTTTTTGGCCAAAAACTTCTCGGCGATCATGCACATGGAAAAGACCTGATCCGTACATCCCATTCCCTTTCTAAATCCCGCTTGCACATCCCAAATTTTTCCGTCAGTTTCTTTCATAACTCTTTCAATTAGTACCTTAGCATACAGTTTTCCCACAATGCTAAGAACGCTGATACCACGGTAGTTTTTACAGTCCTGCTGTGATCCTTTTCCCTTATATATTGGGACTATCACGGCTTTGCACCAGTCTCCCGGTACCCGCTTAAGTTCCCAACATAAATTAAACAAGGTGTACAGCAGGTCTGCCACCACTCCTTCTCCAGCCCTTAGCATTTCGAGAGATACTCTATCATAACCGGCTGCCTTACCTGCTTTCATATTTTTCATTGCTTTCATTATTTCATCTATACTTATATCTCTATCTATTTCCTCTTCTTTCGGAATTTCTATTTCATTTAAATCAAACGTCTCATCACTCATAAACACGCTTTCAAAGTATTCCTTCCATCTCCTTAAACTCAAAACTTCGTCATTTAGAATACAGCCATTCTGGTCTCGTATAGCATTCATTCTAGGCTATTGTGAATGTCCCCTGGTAGTTCTTACGAGTTTCCAGAACATTTTAATGTTTGCCTGGAAGTTATCCGATATTCTTCTATCATTCTTATCCGTTCTTTCTTGCTTTTTCCTTTCAACTACTTCTTTTACTCTCTTATTTAGGTGTCTAAAAACTGCCTTTTTCCTTTCAATATCATCATTCATACTGCTAGAATTACTAGCCTTGGTTGCTAGTAAATCTAGCCATGCTTTCTTCTTTGCTTCAACTTCCATCCGTACCTCATCATCCCACCATAACGTGTTATTTTTCCTTTCATTCGTTCTCTTACTTACACCACATACTTCGGTAGCTGCATCCACTAAACCTTTCTTGACATTATACCACACAGTCTCCAAGTCTAAATCATTCATACACAATTCAGCCATACCACTTATATTTTCTCTCAATCTACATTTGAACTTCTCTTTCACACCTTCATCTTGTAACCTCTCTGTTCTTATACGCTGTAACGCTGTGAAAGACACAGATGTCCGATGCCTCCAACGTCTGAAAAGACCATTAATTCGGCATAAGACCAAGTAATGATCCGTCCCTACGTTAGAGCCCCGGTAAACCCTTGTATCTACCACCGCGCTCCTCATTCTTTCATCAACAATCATCAACAAGGTTAGCGCTCACTGTAAATTTCACAGTACGCGAGCAACCCGGGTTCGATCCCCGCTGGCACCAATGAAATTGTTAATTGCTATTTTTAGTGCTGATTTACCATGTGCTCGGCGATGAAGGAAATCATCGTGAGGAAACCGGCATGTCTGAGAAATAAAAAATAAAAATATTTCGAAGACATGTGAAGTTCACCAACACGCATTGGGGCAGCGTGGCAGATATTTCTTTGCTCTAAAACCCTCTCAGAAATGAGAGGAGGCCTGTGCCAAGCAATGGGAAGTTTTCAGGCTGTAACTTTAAAACCAGAGAGATTGCAGGTGTGTTGTCGGCTTTAAAAAGGAGTAAGCTTGTTTAATAATTGACAGCAGCTAACTAGTAGTTAAAGGTAGCATTTGAAGTGGTAATAACACTACTAAGTACTAATGATTTCTTATATTTACACGAACACTACACATTGAATTAAACACTTACGCTACTACTACACGATAAAATCCGTAAAACTACTAAGTACTTTAAAAATACACTTACCTGATTCTCATAGAGAAGGTGTTAATATCCTTATCAAGTTGATCCAGCAGTGCTATTGACTGTATAATCATGTTGTCCACTCTATGCACATTGAACTTAACTCTGGCCCGAGAGTAGGAATGACCAAGACCAAGCTGAGCTATGCTACATGCTTTGAGTGTGAGGCCTTTGATGAGTGCATGGAAATGATGCCGTATGCCTGGAAAAAAATCAATAGTATCATAAATTACCTGTTTTGTAAGCCAATTATTTAATTTGAGTGTAAATAGTGTAAGGTAACATTTGGTCTCTAGAATACTATACAAAACTAACTGTCCAGCGAGATTTCGCCGCGTGGAATTTATTGCAATTAGATTTCACGACTTTTAATTTTTTTGAGCCTAACCCAATTTTTTTTTTTCTAAAATAAAAGTAGGCTAAGTTACTATTTGCCAGTTAAAGTCCCGTCAAAATAAGTCCAGCCGTTTCGGAGATTAGCCAGAACAAACACAGATAGACAGACAAACATTTTAAAAATTGTTTTTTGTTATTTAGTACTGTCATATGCATTCAGTAAAAAGCTATTATTTTGACATTACAAACAGAAACTTCAATTGTATTTATTTTTTGATGAAAAAGAAATTATATTGCTTCTTCAGCTTACTGATCCATTAGGCTATGTCAGTCACATATCCTTATTTCTAAGTCTATTATGCAGAAAAATTTCAAGCATAGCCCATCATATGGCTGAGCAATCTTAAGCTTTCTCATAAGACCAGCAGTGAAGGACCACGTCTGAGACCCCACTAAGGGTTCTCAAGTGGCAAAGTCATACTGGTAAACTAAGTAGATATCAATATTTCTCTCATTTTATTAATTTATAGCAACTTAAATAATACATCCTGACTTTCATTATCATCATCATAACAGCCCATTAAATATCCACTGTTGAAGATAGGCCACCCCCATGGCTTGCCTTATAGGAGGGATAGAGAATAAATGTATATATATACATATATATATATATATATATATATATATATATATATATATATATACTACAGTTTTATTGTTATTGAGGTATATGCTGCTTCCCATCAATTTACCTCTGTTACTTTTCATGTATTATGAAAAGTGTGTGTCATGTATTATGAACCATGACTTGAAGTAGGTTTCCTTACGCTACCACTATATGGCTACTTTACTACATGCTATATTTTTATGTAACAGACAATCACATTGCATAATAAAAACTACCTCTGATAATCTCTGGTACTGCCCCAGTATGTGAGCACGGTATCTCGAGAGCTTCGCTGATGGCAGCACCAAGTTTCGGGTCTGCTACGCCTAGAGTGCATTTTGACCTCTTTTTGCGCTTTGGCAATGCACCTTCAAGAAACAAGTTAAGGTCCTCTGGCACAATACCTGTGGGGAAAAAATATATTTTCATATTTTAACAATATTAACACATTATATTATGCTGCTGAAGTGAGTGACAGTGTCAGCCAGGGACACCGTAGATAACAAATATGTATGACGTTTGATGAGCAGAAATTTGTGTTTGTTCCATATTATATTTCGTAATATGATTTGCTAAACAGAAGGGGTGTGCCCACAACTAACATTGTATGATGAAAAATCACTACTACATTTGATATAATTTTCCCTCTAATCTAGTTAGTAATTTTATCAGCTTTATCCAAGTTAAGTCACAAAAAGTAACTGCTTTATACCAAACTATTAACTAGCATAAAAAAAAATTAAAATCACAATTGGAAACCCTTCATGAAGCACTGATTGAAGCTATAAATTTGTATGTACCACGGTTGGATATCAGTCTAAATAACACAATACAGACCCATCAGTTATCCGTAAACAGCAACACGGTTTTTGTCCACATTGGTCCACGATTCACACTTTATTATTATGCCTATTATCATGGACCAAACACTTCAATGAGAGAGAGCCTATTGACGTAATTATTCGACTACGAAAAGGCCTTCGATATAGTCCCAACGAAGAGACCCCTCCAGAAACTGCAATATGTAGTAGTTTCCTATTCGCCAGTGACGCCCGCGTGGCAGTGGAGAGCGAAAGTGTAGCATGTGTCTAAATAGGTAAGTTTGATACCTTGACGTCCGTCGTATGTATTGTTAGTGTTGTTGTTTATGTTTGTCTTTAAAATAAATCGAAAGCGGGGTAATTCTTCTTCTGACATATCTTCGTCTAGAAAAATACTATGTATTGGAGGAAGTGCTACTATTTTTATTATATTTTACGAAGAAATTATCGAATCTTGGCTTGTGAATCTGATGAATCATCGGCGAATGTAAATTCAATCCAGGTATCCAGGTACACAATTCTGAAGTAAATACGGTTGCCGAGGGTAATGTATAATAATCTCGCAGAAAGTACTATTACGGAAAAAAAAAACACTGCATGAAGTGGTCTGCAGAATGGCCATCCAGAACTACACGCACACCTGTGCACAACATTGTTACTGCAATAACTACAATTGGATTTTCACCTCAGTGTCCACCTTCACAATTATTTAGTTTGCTAATAACTGACAGTATCAAAACACAAATTACAGAAAATACTAACCAAAAACTGTAATTGAAATGAATTGAAAGGCAAAAATATAAGCGACAAGGTAAACCTGAACTGAAGGACTTCGATTTTGTAGAGTTGGATGCTTTCATTGAGCTGTTTACTTTTAGTGCAGCATTCAAATCAAATGATGAAGGCATAAAATGCATTGTTTGCTAATGATGGAACACTGATGAAGATATTTTTAGAGGAGTAATGTCCAAAGATCATTTTGCGATGATTCTCGAAGTCTTCGGTTTGATGATGCATCTACCAGTGATGAAAGAAAACAATCTGACATTGTTGCTCCTACCTTGAGCATATTTTATGAATTTGTCACCAATTGCCAAAAGTATTATAAAATTGGAGAGAATACCACTATCGACGAAATGTTAGTGTCTTAGAGGCAAGTGCAGATGGAAGAAGTACATGCAAAGCAAGCACTCAAAAACCAAGGTATTGAAAATAAATACATCAGAATACTAAAAAATATCTACGATAACAGTAAGGCTAAGATAAAACTAGAGAAGGAAGGTAAAGATATTATAATAGGAAGAGGCGTACGTCAGGGCGATCCGCTATCGCCGAAACTCTTCACAGCCGTTTTAGAAGAAGTTTTTCGTCAATTAGACTGGGAGAAATGTGGACTGTCCATTAACGGTGAAAACCTGTCACATTTGAGATTTGCCGATGATTTGATAATCCTCTCGTCATCGAGTGGCGGACTGCAGGCGATGCTGAATGACCTGGTTAGAGAAAGTGGCAATGTAGGATTGGTCATGAACACATTAAAGACCAAGGCTATGACCAATGGCAAGAAAGAACCTATTCTGATCAATAATAACCCGATTGAATATGTTAATGAATACATCTATTTGGGCCAGATAATCTCCCCTGTAAATCTAACCTCAAAAGAAATTGACAGACACATTGGAAATGCCTGGAAACAATTTTGGAGCCTAAAAGAAATAATGAAAAATAACGATACTAACATAACCATCAAACGGATACTCTTCGATACCAGTATACTACCTATACTCACTTATGGCTGCCAAACCTGGGCACTCACTAAATCACACATTAAAAAGTTAGAAACTTGCCAAAACTCTATGGAAAGGAGTATGATGGGGAAAAGACTATCCGATAGAATTAGAATCGAAACCATAAAGAAACACACGAAAACAAAAGATGTCACAATAATAATAAAAAAGTTAAAATGGAAATGGTCAGGCCATATAATTAGAGGAAAGGAGAAATGGTCCAAATCGATAATGAATTGGTTTACAGGTCATATGAAAAGGAAAAGTGGTAGACCATGTAGAAGATGGGAGGATGACATTAAAGCCATAGCAGGAGGCATATGGACTAGAACTGCTAAGGATAGAGAGGAATGGAAAAGGTTGGAGGAGGCCTTTGCCAATAAGTGGCATACAGACAGGGTTGTCGATGTACAATAGTTAAGCGTTGAGAGTATAAAAATATATAATATATAATCCAGTGTTAGATATAGAATAATAAATAATAAATAAATAGATAGATACTGTAAATGAAATACTGTCTGAAATAAAGGCTATTATTATTATTATTATTATTATATGTAATTACTATTTTTTTTTTAAATTAAAACCATCCTTAGTAAGTAACAAAACCAAAAATAAAAGTTTCTATTCTTAAAAATTATTTTTAGTTAGTTGATTTTTGAAAACAAAATTATGTTAATTTCATTACTTCTAGGGTTGTTGATTAATAAATATATGTCTTTAATTATCTGTTTCTTTTAACATCTCTAGGTTATATTAAATATACTTAACCAAATTGTAAACACACATCACAATATTTACACTCTATGGATGAACAAGACATCTTTAAAATTAATGACATATATCAGTGTTAGTGTTATTAAATTGCATGTCAGTGCTTGAGGGTTAAGATGTTGAGTGGACATTACAAAATTGAGGAGTTTGTTTATTTGTAATGAAAACACTAACCTCTGGGGCCACCATTTTAACACTAGCAAGAAGAAAAAAACAGTTAACCTACAAAGGCAGTCAAGGGTCTCATGCATATATGTGTAGTGTTTTGGAATAATTTGGAAATAGTTGACAATATTCATTGTTACATAGGCAAATGAAATATTTTTGGTTTCTAGTGTAAATATGTGTTTAATAAAAATTATAGTTACGACATATGAATATTTTTGATAGACTACATCTGCCACATGGTGGCTTTTTTGCATAAATCACCCACTTTATTAGTTTTATTTTTACAAAGTATTTATTACACCTCTACCTTGACCTTGACTCAGCTGCAGGCATTTCTGAGGCAGTAGAATGTTGCAGTGAGGTTTCACGAGTGGGTTCTACTAAAATGTAGTACACAGTTCAACCGCAAATTGCAGAATAAATAGGTTTTTAAAGTAAAATGGAATGTCACATCTCCTGTTATTTATAGTACCAACCAAAGTTATACGTTTTGAAAGCAAGTTCTGTGCAACAGATACAGATGAGAAAAAGTTGTCTGTAGTCACATTTCTACCTTTATTCAGAAATGGTTTCATAAGATGCATGACAACATGTTGTCCAAGATTTTTCGGTGGAGTTTCATCTTTTCCAAAATATGGGTAAGCATTCAAAAAGTATTTCGATTTGACATCAACAGAACCAAATTTTATTCCAAATTTGTCAGGATTATTAGCCATATATTTAATAAAAGGGCATCGAACTTTGGTAATTTGGTAATGAGACACCTTCAGTATCCGATTGATCTGGCAACGATTGCAATAATTTTTTTTCCACAAAATATCAACCAAAATAATAAAATTGACTCAATAAGAATGCATAGAATAATGAGCATATAAACTAAAATATTTAGGTACATGAAACAAGATCAGGAAATAAAATTAATGTAAATATAATTAAGCTACCCACAACGACAACAATGCATTCATCTGTTGAATATGTCAAATGACCCTAGCTGCCATTGTATGTGAGTGTTATTTTTATTCTTATTTGTATAAGCTTATTACAATGAATATACCTTTATTTATAAAACAATTGTAATTCATTAAAACTCAGGAAGTACAAAACTATAATAAAAATTCATTAATATAAATAAAAACAAATATAAACAAATAGTAAAAATTCCTGATGATACAAAATAATCACAAAACAATCAACAACCTTCAAAATGCTCATTTGTAACCGTGTAGTACCTGAGTACTAAGAACAACCTACCAGAGAATAGTCTCGGAACAAAATGTGAACCCATTCAATAATAGATTAGATAATCATTTTCCAAACTGCAAAAGGAGTAACTAGTGGCCACAAAAAGGATACAGGCATTATCAGTGGTTCAACCATCTGCTTGATATTATATAATAATAATTATAATAAATAATGTCAATTCATTACTAGATTAGCGATCCTCTCAAAGCTTTAAGTTTCATACTCCATTGATCCATTGATCATCACTACTCAGATACACGACATCGAGCAAGTGTTATAGAAACCAAATACGAAATATAATAAACATTAATATTATTAATATATTATGTTCCCAGGAATTCACACGCCATCTCTATTTTCTTAGGCAGAGTCACCAACCAACTCGGCTATCAAGTTAAAGATATAAAACAATTTTTAAATAAAGAGAAATATACTAGTTTCATATAAAATGAACAAAATTTTAAAAGTACTAACCTTCAGAAATAGCGTTAATATTTTCTAACGCAACGATTGCAGATTTAAATGGTTGGAATGCGATTAAAGTGACCACTGAATTAAACCTTTGCAGGTCTGTTACCGATTCTTCCACCTGAGGTAGGAATGCTGCCAACTCTTCGAACTCTGTGACACGGAACAGCGCAAAGCCCGCGCTGTGCTCGTATAAAACATATAGTTTACTCTGCAAGTTACAATTACAAAGGTATATAGAAACTTTAATAAAAATCAGATTACGCATATAAAATAAATATTTACCATTTCAACGCTTTATTTTAACATATTATCATTAAAAAGACTAAGGGATAACAAAACACGTGTGTTTTGTAACCCCAACCACTGTGACAGAAAAAACAGGTAAAAAAATTCACAACATATTTTGTTTGAGGTTATGCTAAAGAGATTGCTGTATTTTCATTTGAAGGCAAAGGGATCTATGCCCATACAGTCTAGTCTGACATAGTTTATAGTCTTCGTCTTTTTTTCTACACTACTATATTTAATATTATAAATAGGAAAGATTTGTTTGTTTGTTTGAATTTAATAGGCTCCGAAACTACTGGACCGATTTGAAAAATTCTTTCACGATTAGAATCTTACATTATCCTCGATGAACATAGGCTATATAATATTTTCAAAAAGTTAGGGATCCGTATGAAAACTTCGTTAAAGTAACCCAAGGTGTGAAAAAAAATACGAAAAAGATTCCTTATATCGCGTACGCTGTGGAAACTATTGATAATAGAGCAAAGTAATGTACTTCAGTTTTATAGAGGATATCAATATCTACAATATCTACAAAATTAATAATTTTTCCGGACCGATACGACTTAAGGACCTTCAATAAAAGAGCTTACACCTTTCTGAAAGGCCGGCAACGCATCTGCAATTCCCCTGATGTTGCGGTTGTTCATGGGCGGCGGTAGTCACTTACCATCATGTGAGTCGCATGCTCGTTTGCCCCCTCTTCTATAAAAAAATAATAAATAGACATTTATTTCTCAATAATACTATTTCATTAATTAGTGGTGATAGACCCCAAAGAGTATAATGTAGTTCCTCATGTTGGGGTGTTTCACTCTTACCCTGTACTTAACATTTATACTGTACTATTTGTTTTTTTTTTGAACGTTACCCCCACACTAGGATTTTCTCCTGTGTCGTGGAGGCAGTTTACAAACATAAATTGCACAAGGACAAACATCCAGAACAATTATCACATCCATCATCCGGAACAATTATTTGTAGGCCATACAAATACTTGTTCCGTGCGGGATTCGAATTCGCGGCCCCCAGCGCAACAACTGATTGCTAAGCCACTGCGCCACGGAGCGGTCTACTATGCGGTGGCATAGTACAGTATAAATGTTAAACACGCTATTTAGTAGGCTATATTACGAGAAAATACCATTATTTTATTTTCAGGTCGACCGACTTGTATTATTGGTGGGTCCTTTTACTTTTTTAATATTTACCCTACAATATCGATAATTTCTGTATGTTAGGCTACACCAAATCAGGCAACGACAGGGTAGGTGGGGATTTCTCATGTGATGTTTTACTATCTCGGTCGTTCTGACGTTCATAGCAATATTTTTGAATTTGCTATGAACAGGTTATCGTCCTTTTTTTCAATTTTATTTCAGTTCCAAACAAAAACACTGAAAAAGTAAATGTATGGCCCTAAATTGTCATTTTAGGGCCAACGCATTTGTGTCATTTAGTAATACGGTTGGCCTGGTCCTTACACTAGTAATATATATGTCAATGGTTATAGGAATTTTTGGTTTCGACCAAATTTATGACAAGTCAACAAGAATTAGGTAGCTTAGATACATTATTCAAATAAGACATGTGGCAGCGCTGTCGTCGCGCCACAAGCGAAACACATTGAAGCCTAAATCACGCTAACAAAGTTACTCGGAGTGTTGGCCGCTCCCCGGGCAGACACCTTGCCCGGCGGGAGATCTCCCCTTTTCCTTCCACCAGCACTGTATTAATATAATACTCTAAAAACTAACGTCTCCATTAAGTGACATTGTGTACAAAAAAAAACAATCTGAGTGTCAACTAGCAACATTTGGTGAGCTGATGATTATTAGCCCTCATTGAATTAGATTTCATGCTTGTAGGAAAGAAATTAATTAATGAACACATGAGTGTTAGCAGAAAAATATTATGATGATACTAATGCGAATTTTAGTGATAATAGTCAGTATCAGCAGTCAGTTTTAATTAAAAAAAGAAATAGAAGACAATAGAAAGAGACCCATATGGAAATAATTAATACCTAAGTAAGCGATAATCGACGATTATAAGTAAGTTTGTATATTTTTTATAGAAGAGGGGGCAAATTAACATGCTACTAACTTTATGGTAAGTTATAAGTTACCACCGCCAATTAACAACTGCAACACCACAGGAAATAGAAATGCGTTACCGGTTATATAAAAATATTTTTTATATTTTCGTGTAGGTCCCTCAGTCGTATTAGTCGTGGTTGATGAAGAAGACGTTCGTGAAAGAAAAGTTCTAGTAAGTCACACAGTGGTATACCGCCAAGCATTCAGATGGTATCCTCTAGAGTTGTTCAAAACGGCTATAAATCAATAGCGCGCTACAGACTATAAACTATAAATTTATAGCGCGCTATCAAAAACGCTATGTTATAGCGCGCTATTTATAAGAAAGCGCGTGGGCGGCCAGCAGGCGCGTTAAGTCTTGCAGCACGCTAAATCTCGTAGCACGTTACATTACATTTTGTTCGTTGAACATAACGCGTGCTGTGTAAGGATATAATTTTTTAATACGTAAAGCAGTAAAGAAGAACCAATGAACTCTCCTTTATACTTTTCAGGTTTAGGACTGTCTATAATTGATGTAAACGTTATTTTAACATTAATGTTAATTATAAATCAATAGGCATATTTAAAAGTTCATTGATTGTATATACAAAAATCAACTCTTTAAACACATATAATCATAATTCCTAATTACAGTCATATAATCATGTCAAAACAGAATTGTTTTTAAACAATCTTTTATTTTAATATTTACATGTCATACACTAACTTATTTACACTCAAAGAATCACAGTTACATAATAGCGTCTTTTAATTTGTTTTCAAACAGTCTTCTAATCTATTATTAATATAGAGTATGCACTAAATAACCAACGTCTAACACCAAACTAGGTCACGCGCGATGAATAGCGTGCTGTTAAATAAAATTTGCGTAATGTGCTGTTGTGAGCGGACGTGTTCACGTCCGCTCACAACAGCATGCACGCGAGACTAGCTGGCAGCCGGGCGCTAGCGCCGCTACTAGAAATAGTTTCTGCGCTGGCCGACGCCAAACGCTATCGCGCGATATTCATATTTCATAGCGCAATAGCGCCATAGCGCCTACTTACATAGCACGCGTTGTGCGCTATGGAAAGAGAGCGCGCTATAATATAACGCCATCATATTAGTCTGTGTATGACGCTATGCGCTATATTAATCACCACTAGTATCCTTAATCGCAATATGCGGTGGAACGCATAGGCTGAAACTGATTTGAAACACTCCTTTAAATACTCCCCGTTGTAAGGTTCTTTTGTTTGTTTCTTTGATCGATACAGATCAAAGGGCCGCTTAAATGCTTTGAAAACTTAAAATACTTTCGTCATCGATACTGTTTTTTTTTGGCTGAAGGGCATGCAGCCAATGCATTAAAAAAATTGATACCGATACCAACCAACGGATTTGTTTGACAAATACTTTTGAATTTAAAGTTAGTTTTGGTTTGGAAATATGATATACGTTTTTCTTCATTTTTGGCGTTTATTATTTTTTCTCTGACAGATAATATTATTTTAGTGATAATGTCGCCACAGTCAGTACTCAGTTAATTGTGTTGTGTTAAGTGTAAACAAATAATGGCGCCGATACTAAAGCAAAAAGATTTAGTAGTGACGCTTAAGAAAGAGACGATTTTGAACATTGGGATTTTAAATAAGCTACAGCCAATGCCTTCAGAGATTCATCGACTAACATTTAGAGAAAATGGACTTGATAAACCAACTCAAAACTTGTTTAATCATCTTGCTTATTATTTAGTCAATATCATCGACCCTCAAGCTTGTGCATCATTGCCTTGGCCTTTGTATGACACTAAGAACGAAAGAGCATATAGAAATGAGTTATCTAATTTTATAAGCGATTATAGCAGCAAGGGACTACTCACACCAGTTATGTCATCATACCTTGTTAATCCAGGTTGTTACAAAGTAACTATTCTTATTTTTCAATTATCCCAGTTAGCCGTGCAACGTGTGCTTATTCCTAAAATGAATAAAGATCACCAGAAAAAATTATACAATGAAGTCACAGATAAATATAAATTTCATAAAGATGACAGTTTTCTGGAAGATATTGAGAATGAAACTCATGTTATGTTATTGAAGTTTTCCAACTATATAAAGAAACGACAGACCCTGGAAAAAATTGCAGAATTATTCAGAAAGAGAATATCAGAAATGGAGGCTAAATTAGAGGCAACAAATTCACAAAAATACATAAATAATTTAGTTGAGACATATGTTAACAAATACAATCCTGATGAAAAAGTTAAAATGGAGTTATTGAAAATTAAAAATGTTAAAGAATCTTGTGAGATTTTTGACATGTGGTTAAATGAAACTGATAGATTAATGGACAATTTAGAATTTAATTGGAACGAATTAATTACACCATTATTAAATTCAGCTACTACAGCCCTAGAGAATAGTAAAGCTTTAATAGGCAGGCATACAGGAGAAATTGACAGAAGTTTGTTTACAATAGAGTATAACCCTCAAACTGATGCAATTTGTACAAAAGAACTTCAGCATCTAGTTAACAGTGAACAGAAATACATTTTGAAAAACATAGAAAAAGATGGTCATCTGAATTTCCCTAACCTAGTCCGCAGCTTTGTAATAGCTATTTGTTTTATTTTAAGGAACAATGAGATTGGAGGTGAAATTTATGATTTCAATAAATATTTGGAAGGAGGTCTTGAGACTTATTCTGAAATTACATCTGCCATGAAAATAGTAAATGAGAGAGTTTTGAATGCAGAATCTAAACTTCAGGTAATCATTTTTAATTATTTTAAATATGTCTTATCAACATCTCCATCTAAGCAGTTGACCGCTTCACATGATTTATTTCATGTAAAAATGATATTTCTTTTATAAAACTGAAGTGATAAATGAACTTACAACTGATAGTAATTGGTTACTGTTGCCCGTGGACACGTGCAACCAATTTCAAACAAAGAAGGTTACAGATGCATCACCTCTGACAACCAAGATAGGATTCTTCACAGCCTGTAATTATGTATTAAGTACACAGCAGTGTAAGCACTGTTGCTTGGCGGAGTTATGTAAAGGCCAATTTATACTTTGAAAAGTACAGTAGCGAGTTAACTTGCGAACCTGGTCAGTTAAGTAAAAGATCTCGTTTGGACGGCAATCAGTGAGTTAAGTAGCAAATTAACAATTAAGTTGAGCGGGATTGTCGACCGGTCTATTTTTTGGTGAGTGTTGTGAAGTGTTGCTGTCCTGTGCGTCTACCGCCACCCACTAACTAAACTTGCAGTTTAGTTCAGTGCGTAAGTTGACAGAACGCAGCGCTATACCCTTCAGACTGGAGCATTGGTAAGAGGGTGGTACTTACCCAGGAGGATGCCTACGTAGAAAAAAGATTACTTAGATGTGTTATAAGTCATAACTGAGATGCTTTGTAGCTGTATTTGTGATTTCAGCTGAAAATCTAGTTGCTTTAGTGCTTTTCATGACTATTATCATCATTACAGCCATTCACAAGTCCACTGCTAAACATAGGCCTCCCCCAAGGACTACCATGAAGATTTGAGTAATTTATTTTATTCCGATCTTGTATCTATTTACGATATAGTTATGTCACTTTTTAAAAGCTTTAATTTTCTGAAATATTTTAATTACAGGTTGCCCAAGTTAATATGAGCCATTCACCATCTCAGGACATTATTGAAATCCCACCTTTGCCTGATTTATCAAACTTAAAGTCACATAGAGATGGACAGTTTCTATTTGATTCATTCACACCGTTCAGTCTAACAAAACATCAATTTAATTTGAGAAGAAAACTGAATTCAAATTTCATGAAAACGCAAACAAGGTCTTTACTGATCAACCAATTTACTGCTCCTAGAGATGATTTCCTCAAAACGCTTATATCCTGTAGAGTGAGTACATATGATAGATCTAATACTACCCAAAACATACACAATATGTCCGTAATCTCGCAAGCCCACAAAGCCAATGAAACAATTGCTGAATGTTCATCTGGCTTTACCAAGCAGCAAATTTCTAGGTTACTTTCAACTAAAAAATCAAGCAGCTCCAAAAAGTTCAAATATAAGACTGAAAGGCCAGAGATTAAGGTGAAAAAAGGTGGTTTGTTCAATGAGTCCATCACTTCTAATGAGAGCAGTGGTCTGTTTCGAAGTTACTCATCTCCTAACTTATTCGAGAATAGAGATAGGAAGCCTATAACTACGGGAAGAGCAAGAAAATTATCTATAATGCAAGAAGACAGTCCAAATTCAATTTTAGAAGTCTCTGGTATAGCTGCATTGGATAAAAATAGTAATTTTAGCACGCCTCAGGGTGCTGGTGGCTTGGAAAACATAAAATTTGATTTGTCAAGCCAGCCCATTATATCCGTGGTAAAAGATTCTGAAAACAGAGTAAATAATACTTTGAATAACATACAAGTTGATTTAAATAAGGGAATAGGGAATGGCTGTGTACATTCTGAAAGTGATGGAAAATGTCTGGAATTTCAAGGACCTCTAACAAAGGTTGTAACACCTAAAACAAATGCACAGCTCATTAACAAAACAAGTTCCTTAGAGAAAATTATAAATCGATTTAAGAAAGTCCGAGCAAATGTTTTACAATCAGAGTCATTTGAATCACCAAAAAATATCAAAACAATTGTGGAAGAAAAAGAAAACAATTTCAATACTATGAATGTGGATGTATTTGCTGAAAATAGGACTTTATTGCCTGATCTTATAAGTCGAAGTTTTAACACAGTGCCAAAAGTAACCATTAATTGTACTGATGATATCTGGCTGGATAATGATGACAAAGAACAACCTAGGAGACCTAGAGAGAGCCTTGGTACTGCTTTAGGAGTTGACCAAACATTCTTAGATCAATTTGAATTAATTGACTGATATGTTATTTTTAACAAACTGCATAGATGAAACAATTAAGTCTGAATTAAATATTATAAATAGTTTAATTTCCATGAAATAAATTCTTTGATGAGCCTTCAAAGAATTTATCTTCTATTCTTTTTTGTAAGAATTTTTCTTTATTTTAAGAATCCTTTTGATTCTTACAACTTTGTATTTAAGAGGACTACAGAAGCTAAATGCAAGTTTGGTTGACCAATGCAGGAAACAAAATCAGAAAATATATGATATTTTTCAGGATATATGCTAGTTAGGTACATAGTGTTTTACAAATAAACAACTAATTTGATAACAGAAAAAACCACAAAGATACCTCTAAAAATTTTTACTTTTAACAATTAATAACCATACAAACATACATGCAATCATTGTGAGTTATTGTCAGAGTATTCTACAAGTAACATATTAACATAATAGTGTTTTAATTTTTTAATCCAATGAATAGGTTTTCTTAAATCACATATTCTTATTTCTGAACATAAGATGTACGCATGTGTGTGTAAGCACCTGTATACCGACAGTGCTGGCTGATGCCTGATGCTATACAGAAATTGTGTAAATGTGTGCGTGCGTCATTCGAGGTCACTTAACTCTTGTAGTCCTCATAACCACTACTATTTATAAGACACATTTGGGGTAGTGACCCTCAAGTGCGTCTTGGACTGCAACATGAAAGCATTTCACTTGTCGCTGTCCTGCACAACCTCTCACTACTAGATGCCAGCTTGAATATAAAAATAAAAGCTCAGCACCCCCAGTGGCTCAGTCACATAGAAAGGATGGAAGAGAATTGAAGTTTAAAGAGAGCATTTGTGGATTGATCAATTGGCAGAAGTCCCGTTGGCCGACCCACATATTATGTTCATTTAACAGATTGTTTTTATTTTGCGGCTACCGCTAGGGATAAGTCTGATAATATTACGATTAATTTGTACTTCTTTAATTATCATTTTTAAAGGTCCTAACTTGGCATACTATCTATTTATTTTGACTGACTATTTTAAAATGCCTATTACACCTGATGCACCTATTTAATGTTAAAGTTGTTTGTGTATATGTTACTGTAAAAGCCCGAATTTTGGTGAATCTTAGGTTTTACTTATAAATCCTAGGATTTACCAACATGAGCTGGTAAATGTAAGGATTGATATAAAATGAGACGATTTTTCGCGCTTTTATCGTTAGAGTGGTACGTCCTAGGTTTAACCAAAGACTACCAGTAAGTGTTGGTTTTGGAAATGAAACAATATATTTATATAAGTAGAAAGTATTTATTAAACATTGAATCATATTACCTGCATAATTTTAATACATTTTTATGATAATTCTGAAAGTAGAATATAGAAATAAAGAGATGATGTATCGATTCACAACAAATCGATTTCTAAAATATTGATATTTTTTCACAGACTAGCTCATTGAATATTCTTGGCGAAGAAAAATTAAAATAGCTCATAAAGATGCTTTCGAAGAATTAATTAAAGCAATACAATATGTGTATAAAATTGATTAATAAATTATGTCAAAGAATCGAATTGATTGACACTGACTTCACCTGGTACGAATCTGTCCTACCCCTAGAGTGTTTTTATAGAGCCGGAGGCGCGTAGGGGTAGCAGCCTTCGCCTGCTGTAACAAATCTTAGGCATCGGACGAGCCAGAGTGAGGCTTGTTGGTCGCCTTTTGTGACCAGCCTCAGCCAATCCGGCTCGTCCGATGCCTACGATTTGTTACGCAAAGGCGTAGAGGCTGCTCTTCCCGCAGCGCCGGAGACGCTGCAGTCTCAAAATAAAAACAGAGGGTGACACAGGTAGCGGGGAGGGCTGCACACTGTCAGCAAATACGATAATGCGCCGAACACGTCTAGACTATTTTTAACATTTACTGTGTCTTAGCGGTAAAACATAAGATTTACTGAGTGAATGCTTGTAAAAGTCCGAAATAAACGATTACCATAGAACACTTCGGACTTTTACCTTATGGACCTGGTAAATCGTAGGTTTTACTGCAAAATCTTAGGATTTACCGTAGTTCTAGCTTTTACAGTAACATATACACATAAAAGTTTCTGATTTTCTATCAAAAAATATGCTGTTGGATTATATAATACTTACTTAGCTACTTTTTTACAAGGAAAAAATTGGGTGTAATAGATGAACGAAGTGGAAGCCTATGACATAGATATTTTTCAAATTTATTGGTTTTTTATTGACTTTTTATCAAATTGATCTTTCAATAAATACTAATTTAAAGTAAACCTTATACCTAGAGCTCGGTTCAAGGTCATTATAAACTTATCACCCGTTTTATTATTTAACTTATGAGCCACGCTGCAACTTTATTATGATTGCATTACAAAAGAGTGCTTGACCGGGGAAAGGACCACGCTTTCACAGAATATCAGCGAAAGTTGCAGCTTAAGGTTGCTGTGTTTCATATCGTGAGTGTAGCGAACTGAAGATGTCTATGGGCAACAGCATCCAGTTACCATCAGGTGAACTGTGTGCTCGTTGTCACCCTCAGAAACCTTTCTGAAACTAGTTCTGGATGCGTTTGTAATTTTAGCATGCTTGAATGTAAAGATTGAAGTTATATTAAAGCATAATTTATTAAATAAATTGCAAAGTTAAAGAATTCTAACTCGTTATAGCTTTTTAGTGATTAATCTCACTTCATTTAACCAAACCACCCTTTTCACATTTTCATTATTTGTATGTTTCAAACATTGTATATTTTTCCATTTAATCATGTATAGTTTTATGCCTATGTAATAAATAAAAATATGTTAACTATTTTGTAGTTTGTTTACTAATTAAACCAATAACTATTTAAGAATTCACTGTAATTATTCGGCACATGTCGATGTTTTTTCGTAGTTGTAGAAATAAACTGAAAACATAGGATCACCGTCACGTGTTTAAAAAAAAATCAAAAAAGGGCACATCATAAGAAAATAATGATGAGACCATGGATGTACTATACATCCATGGATGAGACTCACTGACCGCATTGTTCAGTTTCGGTTTATACAAAGGTACTCTGTGGTGTTCAGTAGTATATAAAGTACTCATTTAAATATAACTACACATGCAATGTGGCTTCCAAGTGATTTTTATTTTTGCCTGAATGATTGTAACATTGAGCAGGAAGGCATTCGGTGACTATTCTGAATATTTTTTTTTCGAGAACAGCGTACGTTTGCGGGCAATGTACGGCGATTGGTTATTCGTATATGGATTGATGAAACAGCAGCAGTGAGATTGTATAAATCTAGTGGGAATCGTGGTTTGCTTCGCTGTGACCTTTGAAGCGTAGTACGTGAAGCGCATAGTTTACTCGGCTCCGTGGCGCAGTGGCTTAGCAATGAGTTGTTGCGCTGGGGGCCGTGGGTTCGAATCCCGCATGGAGCAAGTATTTGCAGGGCCTACAAATAATTGTTCCGGGTCTGGATGTTTGTCCTTGTCCAATTTGTGTTTGTAAACTGCCTCCACGACACGGGAGAAAATCCTAGTGTGGGGGTAACGTTTTTAAAAAAAAATATATGTTGCTAAAGGAATGTGACTACTAATCAATTGGAACAAGGTTGATTCTAGCCCGTTGCGGCGGCAATCTCAGCGACTCGCGCGTACGCCCCGTACCTACACGAGCGCGTCTTGACTTGTTTGGCATTGCCGGGATGCCACAGGATCTTTCGGCATGACGCCAGTTGCCACAGGAACAGGATCCGAAGTGTGCCTTGCCACGCCGTGCCATGCCATGCCGTGTCGTCTGTGAGAGCAGGCCCTTGGCGTTGTATTGTGTTAATAAAATTCAAATGTTAAATGTACTTATCGGTATCGAGGTTTTTCTTTTTAGCCGATTTAAAAAAAGGGGGGAGGGGGAGCTCTAAATGAGGGCTAATAATCTTGCGCTCAACAGATGTCGCTATTTGGGACTGAGATGAACTTATTTGTTAGGTACGTAGTTGGTCATGACACTCATCATTGAAAAGTTGCGTTTGTTTTTCGGTTTATAGTGTATGTATGTATATCTATTCTTATAGGTAGGTACACAAAGCAATGCCTCAGTGCTGAGCTCTTAAATTTTATAATTCTTTGTTAACTTTTTTAAATTTTTCTACTTTCAGGAATATCTATTAAGTACTTTGGTTTATTAATTTAAAATCCCATTAATATAAAATACTTATAACGAATATTTCAGAGAGGACCATTAATCTCGTATACTTTTCTAACAAATTAACTTCCTCGGTTCTCGCCATGAAGTCTCTAATATTTTATCTCATTCCTGAGTGGCGCACCCTGGTGGCAGGCATGTCATGGATGCCCTATTGTCATTGTATGTTTTTGTATGTAGTATGTATATGTACGTTATCTTCGTCAATCATTAACAGATTTTAATGATTCATTTAAAAAAAATAGGTCTTATTTTAGGGATGGTCCCTTATGGTTTCACACGTGATATAGCCATGCTGCAGCTATATTAATTGTATAGTTGTAGCACGAATGGGTCGGATCGACCGGGCAAGGACAGAATACCAGCGTAAAATGGCAGCTTAAACTGCTGTATGGTGAGTGTAGAGAACCGGAGACTTTTTATTGGAAAAGAGGCATTCCATGTTAGTCCTCACGGCTGACAACGCATTTTAATTCGCAGACGAGGATAGATGTAGATGTCTATTGGGCCACAGCAACCACTTAACATCAGGTGGACTGTGTGCTCGCTTGTCACCCAAAAAATATACATTTGGATGGGTAAAAAATATCCACCCCTAAGAGTGGGAAATAGGCCTTGAAATAAATTGAGCTGGTGATATTCTTTAAAGCCGGTTGGTTTCCACATAAAAGGGTAAAAAAATTACTTTTAATAAAACAAAAAAGTTTTTTATTTTTATTAAAAGTTAAAAAGTTAAATTGAATAAGTACATTAATATTTTAGGTTATAAAATATTATTAAAATAAAAAAAAACTAACGCAATACGGATAGATTCCGCACCGGCAAACAACCTCGGAATTCGCTATCTACAATAAGTAAATAAAAAAATAAATAAACGCATTGTATTATACCTAATGAATTTTATTTATAAAAACAATAATTAAAAATATGTATTATGTTAACTAAAACATTCTTACAAAAACAGTATTGAATACATTGCTCAAAATAGATTGAAAAATTATCAAAGCCTAGGATCATCGTCTTCCAACTTGACCATCTTTTCAGAAATCTCCCAAAGTTTCCTTGCCCTGCCCATATCGCTCGCTGAGCTGGACACAGAACTTTCTTCGCAATCTGAAAAGTATTTTCCAGTTACCTTTAAAAGGTTTTCGTCGACTGCAAGCATAACTGATGTTTGGCATCCTTGAACCGGCGTCTTAAAGAAACCCTTGATAATTAAATTTAGACCCCAGCTCAAAGGTCTTGGAACCGAACGCCATATCCCTGTGTCAATTAATCCAGGGTGAAGACAGTTAGCTGTGACACCCGTTCCTTCTAAGCGTCGCGCCAATTCCCTCGTGAAGAGTATGTTAGCTTCTTTAGACACGTAGTACAAATACCCAGGGAAAGTGTCAACTGGATTTGGATTATTCAGATTGACAGACCCGATACGGTACAAAGATGATGCAACCACAACGATTCTGGATGGAGAGGATTTCTTCAATAATTTTATCAAGAGATGCGTCAGAAGAAAGGGCCCATAATGGTTGGTGGCCATTGTGAGTTCGATGCCGTCTATTGATTTGTTTTTCTTGAAACTTTCTGCGTAGCCAGCGTTATGAATAAGGACTTCAAGATGCTGTTCATTCTTGTTGATATCCTCAGCAAACTCGCGTATGGAGGCGAAAGAACTTAAGTCCAATTTCTTGACTACGACATTTTCATTTTTCGTCATCTCGATTATCTCATCTGGAATAAAGATTTTTATAATTATTTTTCTGAACAAGGTCACTTTGATCATCTCTTGTAAGTCGTTAAAGGTCAGTGAACTCGAATTTTGGACGGTAATGCACTACTTGTTGATTTAACTTGAAAGCAAAATTTCAAGATTTATAAATTCCCATTCTTGTTAAACATAGCTAGTTATTTCACACTTTTTTTAGAGAATAAGGGTATCAAGCGAGGACACTGTCCATTTGATGGTAAGTGAATGCTGAGGTCCATAGATAGGTATTTTCATCTATAATCGATTAAAAAGTAAGATACAGATGCGTTGTCACCCACAGGACTAGACACAGTTGTGATAGGACTAAGAAGGAATGCCTCGTTTCTAGTGAGGAAGGTCTCCGGTTCTTTACACTCACCAAACGAAACACATCAGCTTTAAGTTGCTGTTTTACGCTGGTATTTTGTGAGAGCTTGGTCCTTCTCCGATATTATATAAAATAATCTCTTACTATTCAAATTTAAAACAATTAATTATGTATTTACAGTTTTTATTTACTAGACATTATCTGTAGGATGATCATAATTATTACGAAGCGAAATGAGGGCTAATAATTTTCTGCTCATCAGATGTCGCTAGTTGCCACTGAGGTAAAGTTTTTTTGTTACACAATGTAGGTACTAGGTACCTAATTTAATTGAGAAGTTGTTTTTTAATGAAGTCGTTTCTAGAATATTATGTTAATAAATAAAACAATGTGTCAGTGGTTTGCTCCTTAATTTTTTGCACATTTTTAACATTTTTTTAATTTCTTTACTTTTATGAATATCTGTCTGTGGTTTGGTTTCCTTATTTTAAATGTTATTAATATAAAATATAGCATTATAGTAATATAATAGTAATAGTACAAAAAGAAACAATAACCTTTACATTTTCCGAACAAATTAATTTCCCCGCTATGAAATCTGTCAAATATTATACCTCACTTTCTAGTGGCGCCGCCCTGGTGGCAGAAGAAGTCTTGGATGGTCATTGATATTGCACCTCTAGCCCGTGGAAGCGTAATAGGATCTATACCGTCTTTTGTCCCGTGGGTGTCGTGAAGAAGAAGGGCTAGAGTGAACTCGTAGCATCAATAGATGACAATAATATACCATGTCTTAAAAACAAATGTCAAATATAACACTCGGTCTACGATCCTGTACGACTACGTCATCGTCTGTAGACGCATTGAAGTAGCGTTTACGTGTGTTAACCATTCAGAAATACTAACCCGGTTCGTCTCAGCCCGCGGGGATGTAGGTATGGGAGTAGTTTTTCTATTCTAAGAAGCTACGGCGCTTCTGCTACTGCGAACACTAATCCATATAGCCAACACCTACGGTAAATCTTGTCTACAATGAAAAAAGTACCTGGCGACTACGTTCCGCAGGTTCCTTGAATTCCAACCGGAGCAAACATTTTCCGGCCTGGATATAATAGGAAGACAGTTATTGCATCCTAGTCTATCTCCGAGCTTTTTGCATGAGCGTTACATTGGACATTGTATAGGAGGCTCATGTCCTGCAGTGGTTTGTTACAGGCAGGGGCGTAGCTACCGCCGTACCAGCCGTATCAATGATACGGGGCCCCCGGCCACAGAGGCCCCGAACGTATGTAAGCAAACATTCCAAGGATTTTTATGGGACAGGATGTTGGTTTGAATTGTTTGGCTAGCTTAGTTCCTAGGAGTATTAATTGTGAGTAATAACTTATAATCAGTATATAATTATTTTAATTCAATGCGAGAGTTTTTGTTCCGTTTGTGAAAAATCTTTACCCTTCATTTGGGCCCCCCGACAAATTTTGATACATGGCTACTAAGGCGCCCTACTCCACTGGTAACAGGAAAATAAAGTAGAGGAAGAGAAGGTGATTTTGATGTCGTTGCTGATTTTGAACACAGCGACAAGTCTACAACTTTGATCTCACGACTATCAACTGTGAAGGGAAAGTTTGGGTAAAACGCACTAACAGCTTATGTTTAGAGTTACCATCAGGTGGTAATTGGCTGCAATGTCTAAATATTATCAAGGAACTGCGAAGCTCGTTTAGCATTCTACTTCTACAGCATCATAAAAAACCCACATAGGTGCTAGTACTACCATCAAGCAGCAGCTATGTAATCCAATTATATTAAAAACATTTGAACACACTGGCCAAAAGAAAAATGCATCCTTAAGAAAGAGTAAAAAAAAGAAAAAACTAAATGAACGACGAAAGCTGGTTTTAAGTTTGGAATTTCTACATATAGCTACCATTAAAAAAATATTATATCAAATAATTATTAAAAGTATTCCTTGTGCTCCTTGAGATTTTTATACGTGGTAGAGCCATGCTGCAGCTATTAGTAGTATAGTTGTAGCCCGGAGAAAGGCCACGCTCTCACAGAATACCATCGTAAAATAGCAGCTTAACGATACTGTGTTTCATATGGTAAGTGTAGAGAACCGGAGAGCCTTTTTACTGGAAACGAGGCATTCCGTCTTAGTCCTCACGGGTGACAACACATCTGCATTTTGATTCGTAATTGAAGATAGATTTAGATGTCTATGGGCTACAGCTACCACTTACCATCAGGTGGACTGTGTGCTCGTTTGTCACCCTTATTCTATAAAAAAAAGATAAAGAGAAAGTTTCTTCTACAATTAACTCACTTTTGATCTCCTCCGCTGCATCGATATTTCTGCATGCCATTATTACTCTTGCCCCTCGCTTCGCCAGTTCTCTTGCGGTTTCCTTGCCGATACCGCTCGTACATCCAGTTATGATAACAGTCTTCCCATCCATTTTGGTCTTCCCTGTATAGATACCGCAAGTGTACTGTGCGTATAGTCGGATAGCGTAGAGTAGACAGATGAAAGCGATGAATGTGAGGAGACCGATAATTATCATTACAAAGAAGAACCAGTACAGGTAATCAGCATTCCAATATTCGGCGACAGTCATAGCTGAAATAGAAAAAAAAACATGCGTAAGTGTCGTGGAACATTCGGTTGGAACGAAGTTATTCTCGTAGTATATTATTATTGATAAATGTATTAGCGTCATTTAAAGTAATATTACTTTCGTGGCAAGATAAGAAAACATGCGAGGGAGATGGATATTATTCCATCTCGCTTCTTTGTAGCCCCCAAGGTCATTACGGAACTTCACTTTTTTTGCCTAGCCCCCATCCGCCAAGTTCGTACCGTGCGATAAGGAACTTCGTTCCAAAACATATTACTACAACATGCTATTATATCTGTACTACTTAAGTTAGTAATGGAAATTATGCGAGACCAGATGATGACTGTATTATATATGAACTATTTATACTTATACTTTATCTGCATACACACTTAGCAAGGACAAAAAATATACACTTATAATAATACTTCAATATATATGGACTATAAAAGTCTTTTACCGATTTTACATATTTATATTTTAAAATTTTTGCAAGAATGAGGGGATTTAGAGTGCAGAGTTTTGATTCTACTGAAATACTCACCTGTTACATCACTATATTTGTACCGATTTAGGCATTTTTTTCCTTTACGGCCTGATGCGTGAATAGAAAGGGGAAAGAAATTGTTGTTATTTTAATTTTATTTTCACCAAATTAAATTATTACAATAACATTAACTGCTGCTTTTAGTAAACAACGATTTTTTTTATTCGGTTAACTGTCAGTTTGCCAAAGAGTTTTGGGTTTGGTAAATTAAGTGGAATATTATAGCCGTGTAGTGGCGGTCAAGAATATCCACTACCCCATATCCTCCCGTGGGTGTCGTAAAAGGCGACAAAGGGAAACAGGCAGGAGATGGGCAGCAGCATCTTCCTGATAATATATACAATAAAAATAAATAGTTAGCATAAATTACAATAAAAAACTGCGGTTGCCAACCCGCTCGCCAAGCGTGGCAACTATGGCAAATACCCCCCTATGAATGACAGTTACAAAAAAACGGCCCCCAGTCCCCGGCGGCCCCGCTATTCCTGGGTACGGTGGCGACCATGGTAACGGCGGGGCAGGGGGTGCTAAGAATCTCCGGTGGAGGTTCGGTTGCCACCTTAGACGACTCGACCTGGCAACGTACAACGCACGCACCCTGAGGACTGACGAGAAGATCGTGGAGCTGGAAGAAGAGATAGACAAGTTGCGCTGGCATATTATAGGATTATCCGAAGTCCGAAGAGAGGGGGAGGACACGGTAATCCTCGAATCCGGCAACTTGCTCTATCATCGGGAGGGCGACCATCTGTCCCAAGGAGGTGTCGGATTTATCGTCCACAAGTCTCTCGTTAACAACGTTGTAAAGATCGGGAGTGTGTCGACGAGGGTTGCGTACCTTATACTCAGAATCACCAAACGGTATTCGCTGAAGGTCATACAGGTTTACGCACCAACCTCGGCACACCCCGATGAGGAGGTGGAGGAAATGTATGAGGATATCTCTAGAGCCATGCATTCCTCCAAAACCCAATATACGGTGTTAATGGGAGACTTCAATGCAAAACTAGGCACAAGAGAGAACGGTGAGCTGAAAGTAGGGAAATTTGGAATAGGGCAACGGAACCCAAGGGGCCAGCAGCTGGCCGACTTCATGGAGAAAGAGGGACTCTTTATGATGAACTCTTTCTTCCAGAAGCGGCCCCACAGGAAGTGGACCTGGTCGAGCCCCGACGGTTCCACAAAAAATGAGATTGACTTCATTATGACGACCAGACGACAACTGTTCAGTGATGTCTCCGTGATCGCGAGGGTGAAAACTGGTAGCGATCACCGAATGGTTAGAGGCACACTGAACCTAAACGTTAAGTTGGAGAGGTCTCGTCTAATGAAGTCAACGCTCCATCCCCCTCGTGCTCTGTTCCAGAGTCCCGAAACCTTTCAGCTCGAGTTACAAAACCGTTTTCAGTGCCTGGAAGACTGCAATGAAGTGGACGATATGAATGACAAGCTCGTGGAAACTGTCCATGCGGTCGGAGCTAAGTTCTGCAAGACCCGCCGCAGAAGAACACAAAAACTCTCCGATCACACTCTTAATCTCATGGCTGTTAGACGGGAGATGAAGCTACATTCTTCAACAGACTTGACAGCATACAGGCATCTGAACAGACAGATCTCCAAATGTATGCGGCGGGACTTACGCAACTTCAATACAGCTCGTATTGAAGAAGCGATCGAGCGGAACCAAGGCTCCAAAGTCTTTGCCAGAGATCTGCCTGCCAGAAAGAGCCAACTGTCAAAGCTGAAGACAGAGTGTGGCAGCATCGTTTCCGGGACACCTGAGATTTTGAGTGAGATTGAGAGGTTCTATGGGCAGCTGTACACATCATCGTTGGAGCCACACGCAAGTGTGAGTAACGATCCAAGAGCGAGTCTCATCCGACACTATTCCGAAGATATCCCAGATGTCAGTCTCAGCGAGATTAGGATGGCTCTCCAGCACCTTAAAAACGGTAAGGCCCCAGGCGAGGATGGAATTACAGCGGAGCTTCTGAAAGCGGGTGGAAGACCGGTACTTGAAGTCCTTCAGAAGCTCTTTAATTCCGTCCTCCATGGTGGCATTACACCGGAGGCGTGGAGCAGAAGTGCGGTGGTCTTGCTCTTCAAGAAAGGTGACAACGCTCTCTTGAAGAACTACAGACCGATTTCCCTTCTGAGCCGCGTCTACGTGCTGTTTTCGAGAGTCATTACGAATCGTCTCGCGCGCAGACTTGACGACTTCCAGCCTCCCGAACAAGCCGGTTTCCGAAAGGGCTTTAGCACCATAGACCACATACATACCCTTCGGCAAGTTGTACAGAAGTCCGAAGAGTACAATTTGCCACTATGTCTGGCGTATGTGGACTATGAGAAAGCCTTTGATTCCGTCGAAATTTGGGCGGTGCTGTAGTCCCTTCAGCGGTGCCAAGTTGACTGTCGGTATATCGAAGTGTTGAAGTGCTTGTACAGTAGGGCTACGATGGCTATCCGAGTACAGAACCAGAGTACGAAACCTATCCAATTGCAGAGAGGTGTAAGACAGGGTGACGTCATATCCCCGAAACTCTTCACCGCTGCATTGGAAGACGTTTTCAAGCTTCTGGACTGGAAAGGATACGGTATCAACATCAATGGCGAGTACATCACTCACTTTCGATTTGCCGACGATATAGTCCTTATGGCAGAATCGCTGGAGGACCTAAGCACTATGCTCAATGACCTCAATAGTGTTTCCCAACGGATAGGTCTTAAGATGAACATGGACAAAACAAAGATCATGTTTAATGTCCATGTCACACCTATGCCGGTAGTTGTTGGGAGCACTAAGCTCGAAGTTGTTGACGAGTATGTTTACCTGGGACAAATAGTCCGACTGGGTAAGTCCAACTTCGACCGAGAGGTCAATCGACGGATTCAACTCGGCTGGGCAGCGTTCGGGAAGCTACGACACATCTTCTCGTCAGACATACCTCAAAACCTTAAAACGAAATTGTACAACCAGTGCGTGTTGCCAGTGATGACTTACGGAACTGAGACGTGGTCCTTCACTGCTGGCCGTATGAGGAAGCTCAAGGTCGCTCAGCGAGCTATGGAGAGGGCTATGCTCGGAGTTTCCCTGCGTGATAAACTTAGGAATAAGGATATCCGCAGTAGAACCAGAGTGACCGACATAGCCCAACGGATTAGTAAGCTGAAGTGGCAGTGGGCCGGCCATATAGCTCGAAGAACCGACAACCGATGGGGAAGAAAGGTTCTCGAGTGGCAGCCTCGTACCGGTAGGCGAAGTGTAGGGCGTCCCCCCACGAGATGGAGTGACGACCTGGTAAGACATGCAGGAAGTCGATGGATGCAGGTGGCTCAGGACCGTGTTTTGTGGCATTCTTTGGGGGAGGCCTATGTTCAGCAGTGGACTTGTGAAGGGCTGTAATGATGATGATGATGATTATAAAATTAGCTATCCCCCACGACTAAGCCCGCGTAGAATTTCACGGGTTTTAATTGTTTTTGCGCGGAACTCTAATTCTTTTTCTAAAATAAAACTAGCCTAAGCTATCCTTATAACATCAGCTATCTGCCAGTGACAGTCCCGTCAAAATCGGTCCAGCCGTTTTGGAGATTAGCCGGAACAAACAAACAGACAGAGACAGACAAAAATTTTAAAAATTGTTTTTTTCGTTATGGTAGGTACTTACCGTAATATACTTTCATATGTATTTAATTTAAAAAAAAAAAACTGTCAAAAGACACTGAACAGAAACTGAAAAAGACACTTCAATTTTATTTATTTGTATAGAGTATAGATTTATAGCAATTTTTTAAATCTATAAATTACTCTACTATTGTTTAAAATCCTATGCTGGCAAAGCTATTATTGTTTAGCTATTAAATAAAAACAAAAGAAAGTTATTTGGAGGAAAATAGCAACCAATTTTAATAAAACGGATCTAACGCTATGATATCGTGATTTTTATACGAGTACGCAGAGTATGAGATATTCCATCACTAGCATAACCCATATGCTAGATAGTCTATATAGCAGATGTGTCAGGGTCCATGTTACGTATAGCATGTATGTCGTAGCTCGACGGTTTTTTACCCCTTTAACTGTACTGTATATCCCTTTATTTAAACGCCGTAACTATATCGTATCTGGCGACTCTTGATTTGTATTTTAAGCTGAACGAGCTGGCTTTAGGTTAGCAAGAACATTGCTATTAAATAAATGCTGAGCATTTATTTGCTTTAAAAAAAATCTTGCCTCCTACTAGGGTTTATTCTGTATCGTGAAGGCAGTTTACGTACGTCAATTTCACACGGACAAACACCTAGATCTATACGGAACAATCTTTTGTAGGCCATAAATACTTGTTCCGTGCGGGATTCGAACCCGCGACATTTTTGTTAAGCCACTGCGCCAGGAGCTGTCATTTATTTGATTAACCAAATGCCTATACTAGCGGCCTAATTAAACCATCC